TCTGCCAGTTGCTATGTAGACGACAAAACGATTCGTTAAGAATATCAATTGCTATTCGGAGAATTATTTTGCTGAATCTACAAATTATTTTGCTGTAAGAACAAATTAGTAAATGTAGGAAATCACTAATTAGTTCCAACAGCAAATGAATGCGTTCTAAGGACAAATTTACTCGGCAGGTTATTTTCCATTCTGGTAACAAGACTGTTTCTGCTTTACACTCAGAGAAATGACCTCAGTAACTGCAGTTAAATCTTATTAGCTAGTTCGAACTTTGCCGTCATTACTCCAAGTTGGCTATCAGAGGTATAATATATTTGCTGCAAAGTACAACTTTAATAGCTGAAATTATTGGCACGAGTAGCCAAAATTGGTTAACTGTTCTGGTTACACTATATATAGACAATATGAAAAACGTTTATATCATAATCGATTTAGTACTTGAGGAGACTAACTCGCGATCCAAAAGTCTTGAGTTCAAGTCCATCAATGCTTAAACATTAAATCAAATAAATCGGCTAAATTTCAGACAAAATTAGTATATATTAATAACTGAAAAAAGATAATTATTAATATCTTAAAAACAGTTTCTGTTAAAAAAAAGCAATATATTTCTTGTCAGTTTATGATATTATATGATTTTAATATTATTGTACAATCTAATATTTTTTTTGTAACACCTAAATTCAATCAGATAATAAATTTAGCTGCGATAGCTACGACATTAGCTGTCCTTATTTCAAAAACACATTTTAGCTACAGCTAGATTTTAGCTTCTACGGTTAATTCTTTCTCTAAATGTAGTCACGAATAATTAGCTATTTAGTTGTGACAACTAAATTAAAAAAAATTGTTTAATATCTTTTAAATCGCCGCTGTTACAATGAATATGTAGGAGCAACGATGGTTTCGTTAAAATAGCAAAATTATTTTTTCTCCGTGTACTCTCGAAAAAAAATATATTTATTCAACGTGACATGAGAAAACAGTTTGGTTGAATTTATCTGAAACTAAAGCCGCTTTTAAATGAAGGAAATGGAATTTCTGGTTGCGAGAACCGAAGTCGACTTATAAAGACCGAAAATTCCGTTTCCATTTCAATCAAAACGCACATTTAATTTTTGTCCATTTCCAGGTAAATTCAGCCAGACAGTTTCTTCCGTGGAATTTTCGTCGTATATTCCCGTGTATTTTCTTTTCGTGATTTCCCTCGCGCGGAAAATATCGCCACTGCGCTCCGTGATCGCGTCCGAAACGAGAAAATCGGGGAGAGATATCTCGAGGGTATATACCCGTTCGGATCCTGCGATCTTTTCCCTCTGTGAAATGAGACATTTCTTATTGAAACACAAGAGGCAATGAATTTCCGCGCGCTTCGTAACGCGCTCGCTCGAAGGTCGGACGTTCATGATATTCCATCGATGTATTTATTAACCTTCCGGCGGGCGCGCACAGATTGCATGCGCATCGGTTTTATGGAGAGATTGCACATAAAATCCTATCAGTCGTGACACTCAAAAGTATTTCTTTAGCATTAATTTGTCTTTCAAAACATATAGTCACAGTTTTACAGTTGAGTGCACAGTTTTATAGAGAAATATAAAGTGTAGACAAATTTTTTAAGAAAACGTCGTTCGGCTCTGTTCCTGCTGAGGAGGAGAAAACAGAATCACTGACTGGCAGTAGAAAGCAGGGCGGATGCAAGTTTTGTAAAAACAATAATACAACATTAAAACATTGCAAATGTGCTCGATTTGTTTGTAAAAAGCATTCGATGACATCAATAACTTGCGAGAGTTGCCAAGCTGCACAATCAGAGACTGATTTTTAAACTTTATTTTATCTCGTTACTGTTATACGTTTTGTTATCTTAATTAACAAAAGACATAAATAATAAACTGTTATATATCATGTATATAAACTTTCTTCATATATAATATTTATTTTCCGATAAAATGCCGGATCCTTTCAAATTTTTGTTAATATCCTACGATGCACTGTGTGCACGACGCGTCCGCTTTCGTAACTAAAAAAAAATGGGCGCGCCCACCGGAAGGTTAATAGAGTTAGCATTAGCGGCGGTTTTCGCGACGAACGTCGCGCCAATTCGACGGAATGCTATGGATAGGCTCCGTGACATTTTTCCGATCAGCTTATTAATCGAACGACCTATAGTCATTATTGTGGCGGACGCGAACGTATGTTTGGCAAGTTTCGCGACGTGGGCGCAGTTTTCATAAAGGAGAGCCCTCAAATCTGTAAACCAAGATGGATTCTACGTAGGTACTTATATACGGCGATAACGTCCTTGCGAATTCGCGTTTCGTTTTCGGTGCTTGCATTACTATTAAGGATAAGATCGTGTCTTCGAAACACTGCCTGTACATAAGCCATTGTCTCACACTGATACTCGGCTGTAACAATCGAGCACGTATAAATATAAAATTGCTCATCGGCAGACGGTTCCGTCTCACCTTTATTCGTCGCCGCCTGTGCATAGGACATTCAGAGCGGAGGAAGCGCGATCGATAGATCGGCCGAGATCACAGCGTTGCGCGCGAGAGAAGACGCACTCGGATGGTTACGTTAAAAGTGAACGCGTGGTAAATCCGGTTAATTCAACCTGAAAACTGTCCCGAGCAGAAACCCGAGCCCGATGCGAGGATTTTGTTCGCTCCCGAGTCGCGTATGCTGTAAGACAATGTAACATCTCAATCCAGAAGGAAGAAAGAAAAGGAGAAAGGGAAGGAAAAAGAAGAAGTTATAGTTGAGTCCAGATTGATTGGTTTTAAAGGCCGTTCTACAATAGCGTAAACGTAGACGTAAAGTTGTGGGAATAGTAGTAGTGAACGTCATACAATAGATCAATCTACATACGGAGTAAATATATGTCGTAACTTGATTACGACAACCATTCAGAATGCAGTTATCATCACGCTCATTTTTTTAAACAACTCTAATTGGTTGGCTCTTGTCTCACGTCTTACGCTGTCGTTGTGAAAGATGAAGTTCAATCATCTTCCACAACACACTTTACAACCAATAGTATTAATTTGCAACTGCGTCTTACGACACTTTATAACCATTTACAGATACGTTTACGCTATTGTAGGACGGTTTTAACGTCCACAAAATTCCGCAAACTGTCGAGATCGCTTTTCGATTCCTCGTTATGAAAAACGCAAAATTAATCTCGACGGCACGATTGTACACTGCCTTACGGCGGAGAAAGAACGCATGTTTCGAAGCGTCTCCCGATCAATGTGGAAGTTGTAATTCGGAGGAGCAGTTGCCTCTCGCCAGTTCGTGATGTAACGCGCGAAAATGTGGCCGTTTCATCACCGTGCGACCATCAAACTTTGCCGGAGTTCTCGAGCTGTACGCGATCTCTCCCTCACTTTCTCTCTATCTCTCTCTCTCTCTCTCTCTTGTTTACATCAAACTCACGTATATCCCGAGAACTATCAAGAAGCAGTTAGGCGACCCGGTGTGAGTGTGAACTTTACGTTGCATTACGCACCCCTTCGGCACGCGACACTGTGTTGTCCTGCGACGATTCTATCGGTCGATTCAAAAAGAAAGGAAAAAAGAAGAGAAAATTGCCAGCGATCGGAAAGATTTCTGATTGAAATCTCGCGTTGCGTATCGAGAGAGAGAGAGAGAGAGATGACGCAAAACGTGAGACGTTTATCCGTCCAGCGGTCCGCTTTTAACGGTGTTCCGGCTGATCTCGTCGGAATAATTAATAGAAAAGATGAAAAATGTATCTGGGAATTTTGCAAGAAGAAAGACTCGTCGAGCGTGTTCGAGCGAGCGTTACGGGCATTTTCCGTTAAAAGTTCGATCGCGACGCACAGACATACACAGGACAGCAGGCCCGAGAGTGCGGCTCGTTTCGAAAAGTACACTCGTGCGAATCGCGTAAGTAACGAGAAGCAATTGTGACGTCCGTTCACACGAAATTCCACCGTTCCACACCGACTACACGTTTCATTGGCGATTTGCGTTCGTTTTTCACACTCGACACCTGAGCACACGTGTGTACGCATCGAGTGTTTCTCACACACACACACACACATATAGACACAAAGCTGAACCAGCTTTTCTACCACGTCGACTATTCGACGGATTCTCCGACGAGTTTGGAATTGATTTTCCCTTCGATCGGGCAAACACACGTCCGCGTTGAGCGTTGATTTCGGCTGAGAAATTGCGAACAGATGGCGAAGGGAGTCAATTTTTCGTTGGAAATGAAAACCCTGCTCAATTAATTGTGACTTCTCGCATTCACCTGAAGAAAAGTTTATTTTGAATTTCACGATAAATTTGTTACTCAGAGGTCAGAAGACATTAAACGTATTATGTACGATGTATCGAATGATGGAGCGTCAAAAAGTCTCTCGATCATTTTCCCATAGATTTTGTCATTTCACTTCGCCGAGAAAATTATGATAAACGTCTCGTTGAATTTCCAGGAAAATTTTTCTGACTCTTAAGAGAATTGAACGGACGAGATTTATTTAGATGAATCACCCGATACGTATACACACACAGATACTCAGCAGACATACACACACACACACATATATACACACACCAACAACATGGAAACGTATACTCGATCTTCCGTTTTGTGATCGTCGACACCGCCATTGCAAATCTTGTTCTCAGCCTCGCGATACGAGGATCCTGTCTCTCTGGCTCCACGCGTTGCCTCGTTTTTACGCATTTAGTTTGATGTTTGTGCTCGCTCGCCATCGCGAAGCGATCGAATCGTTTCTGTAATAAACGGTGGCCCCGCTCTCGAGAAGATAAACAAGAAACAGAAACAGATCGAGAGTGGCGCAGAGAAAGGAGAGGGATACGTCGGAAGAGAAAAGGGAAAGAGAAACCGGGGAGAGGGCGAAAAGTCGCGAGACGTTTCGATCGCTTCCGAAACGAGTGCCGAGTGGTTTACTCACGAAAAGTAAAACAGGAAATTGTGTGTGTGACCTTTGTAGGATGAAGAGAAAAAAGACAGCAGAAAAAACGAGAAAATTGATGAATTACCTAGCGAATTCGAGTGTTGCTTTTGTACCACGAAGGTATTTACGATCACTAACGTTCTTCCTCAGGCGGCACTACATACACCAATGGGCTGTCAAGCGAGTCCGAAATCGAGTTTGAGAAATTCGTATTTAACGATCAATGTGAAAGACCGTGCGAAAGAGACCGGCCCCGTTCGAGACGAACGTCCGCGACAAAGCAAAATCTAATCCAGCTTGCACTCTTTCAGCAGAACTACACATATATATATATATATATATATGACGCATACTACATGTGTATTCCTCTCTCGCTCCGCATATCTCGTCTCTCCTCCCACCCTCCGGTAGCCGGGCCAAATGAGTACTTATATACTTATTATTTACTTTCGTCTGGTCTTCGCGGCCGTGTCGGTTTATCTATTTCTCTTGTTTCTTTTCCGCTTCTCGTATTCGAGAATGTACATCGTTTTCTATATAATCCAAGAGTCTATATATATATATATATATACATATTGCCTACCGATATGCACACTCTTTACATAGTCCACTGGGTGTATGCACTGCCTCCCCTGCCACCTCTCTTCTTGACGGAGCACAACTTTTTCATTGACACGACACCTCGTTCATTCAAAAAGCTTTAGACGCAACCGTAGTTCGTCTCCCCCTTACCCCCCCCCCCCGTCCGACCTACCTACTAACTTACCTACCTACCTATCTACCCTTACGACCTGCTCACCTGCCACCCTCGCCACAGATCCCCGGCCAAACTTGCGATTTGCGTGCTGACACGATGTTTTGTAGGTCAAGGCACCGCGTTATCGCCCGGGCGGTCACGCTACGATACGCGCGATGCCTTCGGCACACCACCGTACCACCCCCTGATACCAGCAAGTAGAGAGCCAAGTATACTTGTACATCTTAGAATCGATACTACGCGCGCACACACGCATACACATACGCACGCACACACACATACACACACATGCAAGCAACAGACACACTTGCACACGTGCACCGCGTGTATGTACGGCGCGAGGATAATTTCCTGCCTCCGGGTTGAAAGTTAACGGGCCGCCGGCACGCGAGAAGGCCGTCGGAACGAGCCACTCCAGAATCGTTCCTCTTCACCCGGGTGATTAGGGACGCCCTCGCGCCTCCTTCGTTCCAGGAGAGCCGGAAAACGTGCGAAAAACAACGCTCGCCACGGTCTATTATCGAATTGTCCGGTCAGCTCCGCGTGTCGGGGGGGAGGGGGCGTTCGTCCGAATTCTCGGATATTCGGGGCACGCCACGAGAGTACGATGTGCACAGACGGTACGTCGATGAGCAATCGTAAGATAAAAGAAAAAAAAAAAAGGGAAAATATTTGCATCGTTTTGCAGGGTCGACTGCTTTCATACTCATCTTGTATTTCGTGTCATCGTGTATTCCTCCTTTCTCTCTCTCTCTCTCTCTCCTTTATCTCTAATTTAATATTCGCCACGAGTGGGCGGGACGCGAGGAGGAATCACTCATCCTCCTCGTGTGTGTACACTTTCGTACAAGTAATTTCCTCCAACGCTTGGGGCGGACACCGAAAATGTTGTTAATTTTCATTAGCGTTAATTGCTCCGGCAGAAATAACGCTCGAAACGCTTGATATTTCGAATTGTACCGTGGCGAGCTCACCGGTACATCCGGCCGTTCGGACGGGAACAATTGGAAGGGATTAATATTAGCGTACCTGGTAATTTATACGCACGGCAGGAAATTACTCGGAGCCACTTTCGTACACGAGAGAGAGCATAAGGTATAATTGCGCTCGTAGAGTGTCTTAATAGAGATCACGTGTACGTATAAAGATATATACAGCCGCCGTTCTCTTTGAGTCTCATTAAATCACCGAGTCGCGCGAGTCGTGCAAAGTGTGCACGTGCACTCGCCCCCGATCTCCGTTCGTTTCATTATCTCGCGCTGCACGATCGCGCGCGTACACGCGATCGAATTAATTATTAATCGGTAGGTGGGACGGACTTGATCGGCTGATTCGACACTCTAGTGGATTTCCGTGGAATTCCGCGGATTACGGAATTACGGATTATCACATTATCGTGTCAATCGTGCAAATTTGAAATTCAATTTTACCCGACGTTAAATATGATTGCGCGCGGAAGTACATTAACGGAATTCCAAGTTACACCGTACGTAACTCCAATGTTGGAAGCTCCGGTATGTCGTTGGACAAATTCATTGCATTCTCTTCGATTTTTCACGGATCCATTGATCGAAAACGCGGATTCGGTTCGAAGCGAACGGTTATCGCAAATCCGAACAATCGTCGGGACGATTTCGGTTCCTTCTTTCTTCCAAAGAGGGGAGATGCAAAGAAATTAAAATCTGCAAAAGGAAGATAGAGGATCTGTAGATCCGTCGGAATGGATTGCCGAGAATCCGCGCTTCCTGTGTGTATAATGTTCTTTATCACACATGATAGCACGTACGAAGGACGAGAGGCAAGATATCGAGAGATTTCAAGGTAAACTTATATCTTTCCTGATTCGTTCGTTCACTCGCACATCACACTCACACACACACACACATATCGGACGGCACATATTGCATATTGTGTATGATGAAACGACTCGCGTAATTTACATTCTATCATTCACCAACTCGAAGCATGCTTTAGACCGGTAGAGCACGGTAATGTGCGGCCAGCACTTGATAGTGTAGACCAAGCGATCCAAAAGCGATCTTTAGACATCGCGCATCCGCCTCCCGCATCCGGTAGGTCCGACTCTCTGGCATCGACAAAGCGCCTCGGAACGGAACTCTAATGTAATGAGACGGCGAGATCGTTATTCTCTTAAGTAGATATAGATGACGCACACATCGCGGACACACGGCGCGCGTTCCATCAGGCGAGTATAATAGTATCGTCCTCTCACACGGCACACGCTAGAGAAACTCAATCGTCTCTTTTTCTTACCTGAGCGTAGAGTGCACGATCCTTCTATGTGGCTTCTTTATTTCTTGTTGTCAGACTGCCGCTTCGCGAAAACCCATTACCACGCTTTGTCGATGGGACGGGCGCGCTCTCCGGCGGATCGACCGGTTTTCCCCTCGATGAGATGTTCGAGTTCGTTGCTGCCTCCCCCCGCATTCCAATTACGCCTGTAAGAAAAAGAATTTCTATAGAGAAAAACACTGGATTAATCTGACGTAGGGATGGGCGATACAGTGAAAAATATCGATATTTCGTATCGATACGTGTCGCAAATAAAAATATCGGATCCATCTAAAAATATGGGATAGCATCATGTCTAATTTTGGTGCGTCAACATTTTTACTTACGATGCGTATCGATATGAAATATCGATATTTTTTACCGTATCGTTCAGCCCTAATCTAAATCGATGCAAAAATCGGGAAGACGGTATCGGGGCACTCGTCTAGCTCTCATCATTCCGACGTGCCTCGAACGCAAAGGTATCCGAGGACGATATTAAAACGCGGCTAATCTAAATTCTGAGACGATCTCTGGGATCTCCGGTGAGTCGTCCTGATAAGAAAACGCTCCCCCCCCCCCATCCTTCCTTCCCCCCGAGAATCCTCGAGTCGATACTGGGGAGGACGCGCCGTCCTGAAGCGTGACCGTAGGTCTTAGACTAAAAGAGCGCGCCACTACCAGCACCACCTCGCCCCTCGCATAATCGAGACTTTTCATCCGCCTGCTGTTTTTAGGGATACAAAGACTTCAGGGACGCGGAGAACATAATGCCACTGCCCACCAGCGACTTTCGTAATCCGATATGTCAGGATATGAGGTCCCTCAGGTTCAACACAGGCGGCGGCGGCGGCGGCGGTAGCGGAGGCAGCAGCGGCGGAGGCGGAGGCGGCGGTAGCGGCGGCGGCGGCAGCGGTGGCGGAGGCAGCGCAGGTGGAGGCGTGGGAATAGGCGATGGAGAACGTGGTGGTGGTGGCGTGGAACAATTAGGCCCATCGTTCATGGAGCCAAGGACGCCGCCGATTCAGCCGCCGGAAACGCTGAGCTACGCGAGGACCTACAACGAGCAGGGCGGCTACGCGAAGTCGTACAACGAACAGGGCAGCGTCGACAGTTCCGACACGTACGCGAGCTGTCAGACGCACCCGTCCCATTCGCAGGTACGCGAAACGACATCGTGTGGATAATATATATATATATGTGTATATATATATATATGTGTATATATATATATATATGAATGGCGCGAAACGTAAAACGATGACTAACCGAATACTGAAGTCTGCCTGCGTGCGACACACCACGGTGAAAATCGACTCGCGCGACTGCGATGCGAGCCGATGCGAGCTGTGAGGGCAGCCGAACTCCGCTGCGGCACACTCTACACAGTAAAAAATTTTCTGTTAAATCTAATACATTTCACACGTCCCATACGGTCCACGCAAATTTTTGTGTTAATTTAACCTACAAGGTGAGCACGTTGAGGAGCAACAAACGTTACATAAAATTTAACATGTTAATCGACACTGAAGTCATAAAATGTGTTAAAAATATCGATATTTTAACACTTACACACGTCGAGTACCGACTCGACAACAAAATGTTGAGATCACGCAAACATGTTAAGTCAACATACGGATATGTTGGAGATTTAACACAAAAATTTCAATCAAGATCGACTTTAACACAAGTACAAAATGTTTTTTTACTGTGTACTCGGACACTCGTGAGCTTTTCGCTGCGATGAGACGAAAGATATTTGCAGGGGTAACAAACGCGTCCCTCCGGGGTCCTTCTCCGCGGAAACTTATGAAATTCGACATCGTGCGATACGAGACGCGACATCCGAGTATCACTGTTTGTACGGCTGTCTCTGTACGGAGCCCTTTCCACCCTCGAATCTATAGTTGTTAAATGTTACGACTCGCCTTCACACACGCTATAGCGTGAGGAAAATCGGAAAGCGCTGATGATGATGATGTAACCTGTCCCATCTCTGATGCATTATTATATGTTAATGACTGGTTTTTCCGGCGAATGCTCGAAGTCACGGTTCTTCCTCGGTAAGGATCCGACGAGATCTCACCGTGTTTCACTGCACCGCGCGATAGGTGGCTGTTGATACGAAAGAGGAGATATCCCAGAGCTTCTCCAACGAGTTTAGTTCTGATCGAACGCACTTCTGTCACTTCTTTCGTCATTGTGTCGTCGTTGCAACCCCGAGAGAAGATTGTGCAGTACGCTATCCTTTCAATTATCCGTGTAATTTAAGTTACGACCAATTCATTTCCGAGATACTTTCTCACGCGCTCGGATGAGAATACGTCGCGGCATCTTGCAAGAAAAGACCCATCACTTATTACCGACTTGTACGTTTGCTAACGCGCATGAGACGCTATCCCGCTTTTTTCCGAGAACGCCGACGGATAATGTACGCTGAAGCAAGCATGTATCAGTTTACTTTCGTATCGAATTGTAATTCTTGTAAGACCCAATTGTGTACTCGACACGCGCGACATGGTGTATCTAAGGATGAGAATTAAAAGAATTTGATTTTTCTAGAACGATGGTATTCTCTCTCTCTTTCTCTCATTCAATTTGTTCGCCGCGCTTCTTGCGCAGAGACTCATCCTGAGTTCGTCCAGAGATCATTGAATACTTGAGGATGACAAAGACGGGATATTCCACGCTATTCGACAGATTCGTCCCCTGCACACACACCATGCATATACATATTTCGCAACCATTGAGAATTCGTTACAGCTACTATTACAGATTCCGACATAAGCCACTCTCACATGTACGCGCCGGGACGACATTATTCGCGACGGGAGTTGCGTTGCGGAGTTTGAATGCTTGGTCGCGGGACGATTCCTTCGCTTCCGCAGGGCGATCTGACAGAGGAAGCGGACAGCAATCTTTACGTGAATCCATTGGAGGCGACGGAGAAATGCGGCACCGGCCGAGTGAAAAAGTCCATTTCCGGCGAGGTCAGCCGAAACGTCATCACCGATGTCTCGCCCAGCATCGAGTCCTTGAAGGAAATCCGGCCTTCTAACGAGGTCAGCAAAATCACCCTGAACGACGCTGTACCTAAGCATAGGAAAATAAGGATCCAACAGGTGAGTCGCCCGTCGAGTCTCCGATATGCGCGTACTCTGCTTTTGTATTCGCGCGAACATGATTATTATTATTATTAATATTAATATATATATTACCAGCGAATGAAATGAGAAAAGAGGTAGGAGTACAGCCGAATAGATTGAGATCGGACCGACCAGGGTGGTGGTGTGGCGGCACGTAATGGCGGTCAGTCGCCCGATCTCTCGATCCTCGCGATTTCGATTCGGCGCATATTCACGGCGGATTCAGTTCGATGCATAATCGACTACTCTACTCGGTTTGTGATTCGGCAACGGCCATCATGGTTGTCATCGAGCGAGATACGATCGCGCTCTATCACATTTTTTACTCCACTCTCATGATCATCTCAGTCGACACTGGCTATTACACCGGATATACTTTCGCATAACGGCATAAGTGCAGAAACCGGGCCGGGTGAAAAACATTGGTGAACCCGAAATGACAAAGAGGATACCGCATATCAGCCGGCAAATTGCGTCTTAACCTCAACATTGTTGATCTGCTATTCGTCGAATTATTCAACGAAGCGAGAAAATCTTCAGCCGATCATAAAGCCGCGGCGGTAATAAAAAATCTTCTGTAAACACATCGACAGACTTTACCGATCCGATAGTTTCTGCACGCCGATAGGCACACAACGAGATTCCTCGCGCTCTCTCCTCGAGGATGGCGCAACTCGACGGCTCGTGTATGTATGCTCCGGCATTTATGCCCAATTTATACACCGAGAAAAAGATTTCTTCGAATTTAATCAATTTTATTGCATCCAAAGAAATTTCATCACTGGCATGCTCCGAAGAAACTAATATTTCGATGAATAAGTACGATTGTTAGACTTTTCAACGAAAATATGTATATTTATCTTAAAGAAAAAAATTTGTTTCAAATGAAAGATAATTTTCTTATAAAGAAATTATTCGTTTCATTTTACATATTTATTGTAACCAAATATTTTATTCGGCTGAAAGATATTATTTCAAATAATAATGTTTTTTCTGTTAAATAATAGAGTTTTCTTGAATGAGAGAATAAAATTTGTATCCAAACAAATAATATTTCATATATGTTGTTTCTATGAAATAAATTTTAGTCAAATAAATAGAAATATTAAATCTAAAGAAATCTTTTTCTCTGTATACTATTATAGTTTAAATCGAATCAATTAACTCAACGGAATTGACAAATTACATTGGCCAATTGACTGAACCGATCAATGTAATTGGTCAATTTCGTTGAGTTAATCATCGATTAGATTTAAATAATGACGACAGGAACGATTAGAGTGATTTTTACCAAATTCCTACCGAGCCAATCGATGAATCAAAATCAATTAAATGTTGCCTACTTTATCTTGTTAACACACAGATGGAAATTATTAACTTTTCGATTAGTGTTGAGCAATAATTTGTAGAACGGAATTGGTGCTGGCAATTTATATTATTATTCGTCGATTAATCCAAATTTGGCGAAAATCACCTTTAATGCGTACAAATTCATGGCGCTTCTTCGAACGAGAGGAAGCCTGTGATCAACGGGTCGAAATCGTGACGCGCATTAAGGGTGACTTTTATGAAAGTCCGATTGAGCTAATCGATGATTTAAATCACCATCAGCCAAGAATTACCTATCTTGCTGACACAGATAGGAATAATTAACTTTCCGATTATCGTCGAACGACAAGCCACAGAACTGGAAATTGGAGCTGGCAGTTCATAATTATTATTCATCGATTAGCTTAATCGGAGCTTGGCGAGAGTCACCCCGAGTGGAGTGGACACGATCCCGATATCGCGCCAGCCTCGGAGAGGCGAGGGTGGCGAGTCACGTTTTACATCATCGTGCACGATCGCACGTCACTCATGCGCCGCACCTCGCTGCTTTTTTCAGCCGCAAAAACCGTCGAGACCACAAGCGGAGCGCAGTTGAGCGATCGCCACCAGGCTATCGTACTTTTCTGAACGCTCCGATGCTCGTCAGAGGGGAAACGCGCGATATCGCACGTTGGCGCTCGGACACGGAAGTAAGCTCGTTCGCAGCGTGACGGCGTGTCGCGCTTGGCCGGCGACTGATAGCGGGTATATCGTTCACCTTGCGTCACGGAACCAACCGCCTATCTCAGGGCCAATGGCGTTTATGCAGCGGCGACGTGTCCGATGGAAAATGTAGGGAAACAGCATCTTCTTCTGGAATTGGCGGGCTGTTTTTGCTTTCTCTCTTCCTAACGAACTTCTGTGATTCGTCGGATACACAGAGAAGAAGATTTCTTTAGATTTAGTATTTATATTCTATTTATTCGACTAAAATTTGTTTCATAGAAACAAAATATACGAAATGTTATTTATTTGAGTAATATATGAAATATTATTTGTTTGAGTAAAAATTTTATTGTCTCATTCAAGGAAACTCTATTATTTAATAGAAAGAACGCTATTATTTGAAGTGATATCTTTTAACCAAATAAGATATTATTTGGTTACAAATATGTAAGACGAAGCAAATAATTTCTTTATAAAAAAATTATCTTCTAACTGATCTCAAATTTACATTAAATTTCCGCTAAATTTACATTAAATGGACTAACATGGCATTTTAATCACCATGATGTACCAAGTATGGAAATTCAGCTGCTTCAATAACAAAGAGAATCGTAACGTTTGATCATTTGATCATAGCTTTTGACAGAAAGATATGGAGAAATCGGCATACCGGAAATCCGATAAGGGTAGTGCTCTATTAATTGTTACATTTTTTATCGTCGACACGTCGTTATGCATATACCAATAATACGCATTCCATAAGTCCCATCGTGCACTATATGTCTATTCTCGTACAGTAATCGAAACGTCGATTGTGGCTCCGCAAAGAGATTCGCGACCGAAAGGTGCCACACGACGTTTCCGTACACCCGTATCTTGCAGGTGCGACCTTACAGCACCAACCTGTTGTTAACCCTGCCGCGTTATGTCTCCCGCGAGCAACTGCACCTGCCACGACACGCGTCCACCTTGAACTTGAAAACCGTGGTTTGCAAACGGAACTTGTGTGGTTTATAAATACGACCAAGGCTGAGTGTAACGAGCTGGCGTCGTGTAAAAATAACGGAGTCGAACGAGTGAATGAGTCGGTCGTGCGCTCTGTTTTCATGTTAAAAGTTTTAATAAGTGTATAGAGAAAGTTCCTTGCAAATAAGTGCAACTTTCGCGAACAACTCCGCAAGTTCAATTCCGATTAATCGTCCGCCACGACCGACGTCGTGCTTGCGACCGTTATTCGGTTCCTCAATTAAATCCCGCTGGCGAAGGAAAGCGCGGCACAATCCTCCCTATGGACTCCTCGTAATATCGCCAGAGTGTCATTAAATTTAAGAGAATTTATCCACGGATATGGGGTAATTGATACACGATAATGGACGATGCTACCGCACGGAAAATAAAACTCAATTGCTGCATTGAGGAAAAAGTAGTTAAAAATGTATTTGTGAGACAAAAGGTTTATCTCACAGAAATAAGGTTTATTCTCGTGGAATGACGTTTATTTCTCGATAAGATTTTTAAATAAGATTTATTTATGTGATATAAAATTTATTTTATAGAAATAAACCTTATTTCTGCAAGATAAACCTTACATCCCACAAATGAATTCTTAAGTACTTTTTTCTCACTGAATAGGGATCAGATGAAAACTCGGTGACAAGAAATAAAATCTCAGTGACGTGAAATGATATTTTTGTTACCGTGACTGAATACATTCGTGTGAACATTTAACTGCATCCAAACTCGCTTGAGACTGATCGAATACATAAAGAAAAAGATTACTTCGGATTTAATAAGATTTCTTTAATTAAAACAAGTTGTCTTTTGTAATGGAGTAAACAAACGAATATTTCAAGAATGATTCAAGAAACATTTTTTGTTGTTTGAATTGTTTGGTTTTTCTAACGATAAATATCTTGACGTTAAATAACATATTTCTTTTGTATTTTCATCCAACATTGCAATGGCTATCATAAGCGATAAATTATTTGAAAGAAGTAACACTATGTTAGAAAAATGTGAAGGAACTCTTTGTTTCAATGGAATAATATTTAATACATGATCAAATACATTTTTTATTGAAAATCAAATATTATTCCCTCTAACTAATATTGGTTTTTCTATCAAACAATATGATTTACTCTAGTGAAATAATATTTTCATTCAAACAAAGTGATATTTGATATTAAATTATGTTGTTTATACAGAACAAACCCAAGAGTCAAATAAACGTGTATATGCTGAAAAAAAGGACTTAAAAATTTATTTATGGGATGTAAGGTTTATTTCACATAAATAAAATATAATGTTTATTTCACACAAATAAACTTTATTTCCGTGACTAAATCTAAAGAAATCTTTTTCTTTACGTAGAAACCTTCTACAGGAATCTTTCTATTCCTGCAACCGAGTTTTCGTCTAGTACCCGAACGGAAAATTCAATTAAACATGGAGAAAAAAAATTGGTTGAATTAACGCGACAATGAACGAACCGAACGCGTTTTTCATCGAGAGACACCGAATTTTTAATCTCCATGAACTAAATTCGATCTTTAGGGGCAGAAATTCCGTTTCTATCAACCGAAACATATTCGGTTTGTTCACTATCACTTTTAATTTTTAATTTTTAATCGTCAAGACGTCACATTAATTCAACCAATCTTTTTTCTGTGTGCAACTAACTGAATTAACTAAACTATTATTCTTCCCGCTTGCGTTCACGACGACCACGAATGGGTGTTTCAGACAACCTTCACTAGCGGAAACTAAATTATTAATCAATCAGTCTCTCTCATCGTCTTCCACACTATCACACGATCTCATTGCCTTATCATCGCGACAATTTGCGACATTTCTCGCCACGACTTACTCGCCTCGGCGCTAAAAGCACCGTCTGGGCGCTTTCAAGCGCGGCAAGCTGAAACTCGCGGGAGGCACGGAGCTTCTTCTCCTCGTTCCTCTTCGCGCGCCCTTCCTCCCAGGAGAGACCTGTCGTCCGAGAGGCCGAGTGTAATTGTCGCGTGTGACTGATTGCAGAGCGCAAAGCCGCGGGCGCAATTCATCGGTGACCAAGACAGCCCGGTGGTGATGCGCGGCATTCTGAAGGACGACACCTCGGAAGACAACAACAACCATTACGGCGGATTGCGCGGCGGCAGGTCCTCCGCGACGAATAGCCTGGCGTCCGCGACGCGCATCATCAATCACCACTTGTTCGGATCCATCGGCGGGCCCAAGCATCACGCGGGTAAATATTCGTTCTAATCGCAGATTCGATTCTCGCGGCGGCCACGGGTTCTTTCTCTCTCTCTCTCTCTCTCTTCCTCTCTTTCTACGTAAGTAAACACACCACTTCGCCTCCGCTCGTCGAGGACGGGGAGCTCGAGGAGGGTGAATGAAGGCGGAATGATGGAAACGCGATCTCACCCCGGGATTAATGTTCCTCCTTCGCGCGTTCTGGCTGATCGATAGTGTCGTGGGCAACCGGTGAAAAGCGGGTACTCGTTACGCATATCGTTACGCGAGCGTGTCCTATCTTGAAGCGCGAAGCGTGATCCGTTTCAGGAACGAGCGGCGAGAGCAAGCTCTCGCTCTCGGCAGACTCGATAGACAGCGAGGGCGCGCCGTTCATGGACCGCCACCGAGTGTCGAGGTCGATCCTGAAGAAGTCCGACAGCGGCAACAACTACTACAGCTACGCCGGCGACTCCGACACCGAGAAGCTCATCACGGACTGCGTGTCCGCGACGAGCATGTGCGACAACGAGACGAGCACGTGCGAGACCTTCGTCAACGGCACGCGCGCGAGGAAGCGCCCGGTATCGCCGTTACTCTCGCGACAGGTCCTCGAGTCGATATTCCGCACCAATAACAACACCGAGAGGGAGTTCACGAACGACGAGAGCGATGGGAAAACCGCCGTCGCGAGGACACCGAAGATTCTGTTTGGCGACGTTGCCGAAGGTTCGTGCAAGCGTCTCCTAATTGAGATAGATAGATAAATAGATAGATAGATAGACAGATAGATAGATAGATAGATAGATAGATAGATACACATATATGAAGAGAGAGAGAGAGAGAGAGAGAGAGAGAGAGAGAGAGGGAGAAGTGCGATAATAACGTGTTATCTCCTAATATCAAGTTAACTGATATGAAATGACATTAAGGATAACTTTCGCCAAACTGTGATTAAACTAATCGATGAATAATGAATAAGAACTGTCAGTACCAATTTCCAGTTCTACAACTTGTCGTTCAACAATAATCGAAATTTAAAAATTTCTGTGTTAGCCAGATAGAGCAGGAACTTGACTAATAGCAATTTTAAATTGTTGATTAGCTTAATTTGACTGTTTATCAAAAGACACTCTCAGGGGCGATTTTCATCAATCTAATTAAGTTAGTCGATGAACAACGACAAAAATCATCGATACTAATTTCCAGTTTTATAATTCGTTGTCCAGCAATAATCGAAAAGTCAATAATTTCTCTCTGCATTAGCAAGATAAAGCGAGTGAAATTTACGTGACAGCAATTTTAAATCGTCGAATAGATTAATCAGAATTTGGTAAAAGTCACCCTAAATGACTTTAATTGAGTGTAACTCAAGTTAAAATTTCAAATTACTTTAAATCTCTCTCTCTCTCTCTCTCTCTCTCTCTCTCTCTCTCTCGTTCGTTCGCTCATTTGGACCCTTTCAAACTTACTTTAAAATTTACTTAATAATTTATCCAAGTTACCTTAAAATATCTTGCACGTTTAGATGCCTGGACACGTCCGATGAATTCACGATCAATTAATCTTTCCGTAGAAGAGAAACACGCGCGCGACGAAGCGGTAGTGGAGAATCAAAATAAGGAGCCGGCGGAGGAACAGCTGCGGCGGCCGAAAGTGCGCGTGCAGGAGGAGCCCAAGGACAGTCAGACGACGTTGATACTGCGCTCGTACAAAACGAAGAAGTCGACGACGACGGACGATAGGAGGAAGACCGGCGGCAAGTCGTCAAGCGGCTGCGCAACTTACAAGAGCTCGGACGCGCATTGCTTGCCGCAGGAGTACCGTTTCTCGTCGTAGCGTTTCTCTTCCTCCGTATAAGCTGCAACGGCAGCAGCAACAGCCAGCAGCAGTCTTCATTACGCTATTACGCGCTCCATTGCGCTCAGAGTCGCACGTCGCCGTCGATCGGTCAGCCGACGATCGACCGGTCGATGCGCGGACCCGTGTTAATAGCTCATCATCGTCTGTGCCTGATAATTGCGTTATCTTCAGTGTCGGTTGCATCGACAGTCTTGGTCAATTAACCGTGGCGGAGTACGTCGACGGAGTCCTACTTAATTAACTTCGTCGTCCTATGCCAGTGTCCTCCCTGTGTTTTCCGGGAAACGATCCCGATCGTAGCCGCGGGCGGAAGAGAGAAAGCGAGAGAAAGAATTAATTAATCACGATGCGCGGTGCAATCGACCTTTAAACATAAAAAAAAAAAAGAGGAAATCCGTCGAGCACACGCATAGCAATTGCGAAGCAAACACGTTCGATCAGCGCTCACGTTACTTACTATCACTTAAGATTTCTTTTCCCGTCGGGTTTTATCGCGAATATCACAACGTAGAGAGACGCGTCGATACGAAAGCTAGTCGCACAAAGCGAGCGTCCGAACTGAACGTTTCCGGAAACGGGACTTCCAGAACGTTCGGCCGAGAATCAAGTTCCCATCGACGGTCTCGCGGAACCTCGGCTCCTGCGAGTCGAGGTCGCCCAGACGCGCACTCGCCGCTCTCGTCGTGCGTTTTATCGTGTAATTGCATCGGATGTGTCGCGTCGAATCTCCATGTCGAGATCCCTGTACGCGTTTAGGCGCGCATGGCCGTCGATCCCCGGCACCAGCGATTTCTCACGACAAGCGGCACGCATCGCATACGCGCGTACACGTGACGAATCAAAAGAACCGGCCACTTGATCACTCTCGCGCTGCTGCTTGAAGCGACTACGACGGTGGCGCGTGTCGTCGGCGTGTCTCACCCGGGAAATGCGCCGACGACGTGCTTTTTGCGAGCGAGAGAGAAAAAGAGAGAGAGAGAGAGAGGGGGGAGAGAAAACGAGCGCACCCGTAGATCGCATCGTAGTTTAATCCGTTTTATCAGTGAGGCGCGAGCGAATCGCGTGGCTCAGCGACGTCGCCTGCATTCGAGAGGCTTCAAGTCTCGGATCGCGAGATCATCACCTCCACGGCGAGCGGTTCTCACCGGCCGTGATTTTATCTTCCCCCGGGGCCGGCGCGTACTCCGCGAGTCTGAGTCGCGAGCGGGAGTACGCGCGTGGCGTCCGATTCTAGTCTTATAGATGTTCATCGGTGAAGTAACATATCTGAAGCAACACAGCATTTCTAGTCATTGTTACAGTAGTCGTAGGTAAAAGAGGAAGTTAACGCGCCGGCCGGTCCGCCGCGAGGCGGTGCAAGAGCCCGCGGCGCGCGGCCCGTCGCGCCGATGTTCTGAATCGAGTCTGAATTGTATTTTCTACCAGAAATCGCGTAAGAGTAAACTCGCTTCTTTCCGCTGCGCTTTATGCGCGCGCGCGCGTTCACACACACACACACACACGTTCGAGGGATAATCGTTTCCGAATTGTTACCGCGTTCGTTCCGTAGTTCGAGCGACGAGCAGGGCCTATCGCGCGCGAGTGAACCGGAAAGGGTGCGGCGATTGCGGCCGCTTCAAGCGGACGAAGGTGAATTATCAGATGTAAATTCAAATCGCATTTTTACGGGGGAAGAAAAAGTAGCGAGTCATATTTTTACGGGGAAAGAGTTTCACCTGTCGAGAAGGACCATTCCTCTGAGAGATTTTAAATCCGCGGACGCACACAACAGTGATCCGATTATTCTGACGGAAGAGGAGGACGACGAGCGAAAACGCACGATCACGCCGAGGTATCAGGTAGCCCGAGCGAGAGCGCGCAGCATCCTTTCCCATTCACGGGTGTAGCCCGCGTTGTTTGTGTACCTGTTATTCAGAGTTGGATACCTTATGCCGCTTAGGGTTTCCAAGTAAACGAAATCGATGTCTTCTGCGAGCTAACGTAGTAACGAATGTAGGAAGTTCCTAGACTGTGTAAGAGAGAATGATCTATCGTTTATTATATCGTGTAACTGTGCAATTAGAACGACAGAGCGGTACTGTTTAGCAGCGACATAGTACAAAGGACGTAAACGTCGTACGCGTTACGAAGGGAAAATCGTTCGCGGACGCTTGAGAGAGAAATAGAGAAGAGTGGGAGAAAGAAAGACAGAGAGAGAGAGAGAGAGAGGAACGTTGTCTTCGTGTTAATTAAGTTAAGGACGCTCGCGAGTTGTCACGCTTACTCGAGAAACTTCAATTGACGTTCGCTTTCGAGGAAGACGGGTGAGTCTGGCCGTTCGAAGAACTCCGCCTGAGAAGTCCTTTCGGGACTACACAGATCTTACAGATATTTATTTTTTACTTCGACTTCCCGCGCTGGCCGTATAGTACAGCAGACACAATGGATGGATCGTTATCGTGATAAAAGAAAAAAGGAAGAAAAACATCGGTATGCTCTAGGCGCTAGGCTAGTCTGACTTCACGTCGATCGATCGGCGCGAATCTTATTTTTGTTGGTCTTCTATTGGCCTATCCCCCCGTAGTTTTAAGGGCTGGTAGCGTGTAAAAGAGAAAAACGAAAATAAACTCGCTAGTTATTGTTCCTTACACGGCTGCGTCCCAATTGCCCGATCATCCCTCGCGATTCTGACCGACTTGGCGTTCCTCACGTTCAGCTGAACGATACATTGAGCGCGAAATATCATATCCGCGCAATATGTCTGCCAGGAATCTGATTTATTGTGTTGCTTCGTTATACATGACCGGCACGCTGTTTTCCGATTACAACAAAAAGTGTCGCATTTCTCGTAGTAGCGAACGTCGTCCTTCCGGAGAAAATCGAGCAAGCTGATTGATTGCAACGACTATCGCAAACATCATCACGAACTTCGTCGTCTCGTGGCATCTGTCGGTAATAGAATTTCCAATGATTTGCTTATCGTGCGCAGTGCGAATTTATTCACGCTGTTCTTCGTGGTGAAAAACTTTAAAAGAGCTTAGAGGAGCTTAACACTTTACCGCTCGGAAGCCTATTAATAGGATTTGCACATTTGGTTTAAACGATTAAATTAAACTTATCAATTGTACTATTCTTCTTAGAGATTAAAAACACCGATTTATAGTGAAAGTCAATGAAAAACAAAATTTGAATTTTGTGAAACAAAATAGTTATATATGATACATAGAAGTTAAAATTGACTTCAAATCAGTCTCAGGCATATATTTAGATACAATAAAACACTTCACTCAAAAAACAGAAATTAAATTCTTCGCGTTTTCTCAAACACAGATTTAATGAAATAAAATAAAAAACAATACTTGAATTCAGTTAAGCCACACTACAATATATTTCCAGGATGTTGGGACATCTCCCAAATCTTTTCGTCAAACAGAAACAAATTTTAGGAGTAAATAAAAACATTTAAATTACGGGGTTTTCCGTTGAAAACAGACTAGTTAATTAACTTCTTAAGAATAATATTCAAAGAAGAATATTCGACAACATTAAATAATATTCAATTTAAAGAAAATAATCAAATATGCTCATGAAGGTTAGTGTATGTTTCCTTACGTATGTTTATTAATAACTTATCCTGGCTCGGGATAGACAAACAAGAATTGTGGATAGGCAAACGTAGACAAATTGTGGACAATCGATTCCTCTACGGAATTTAAAAGAAGCACAGATGTGCTCATGCCGGTCTGTTTTTTTGACAAACCTCGTAAAAATAGCTTAAAAATAACATTGTTCTTTACTTTATGAACATTGTGTTATCGGAGTCATTGTTACATTCTATTTTCTCTGAATCTTTTGTTTTATCTTTAAAGAAGCAAGTTACTAAACATGATTCTTACGATCGAATTTTTCTTTAAGGACTCAAATCAAAAAAGAAAAAAAAGAACTTTTTGTGAGGAAAAATTGAAGTGTTTTTCAGTAAATGGAGAAAAGTGAGAAAAGTGTATCGTTCCCATGTAATTGTCTTTGTAACTGACCTCTATTATAATTGCAATCTCGATTACAAGGTCGAATAAAGTTTAAGTCGACGATGGGTTCACCATCTCAGTCGTGGTGCTCTGCGCGTCCGCGGGTGGCTTCTCCTGCAGCTCCAACCACGGTAACCGTTTCTGTAGTTCCAGTCTATTACAGAAGAATGTAAGAGAGAAGATCCTCGAGGAACAGTACGTAGAATCAACTCAATTCCTAACGCTGTATCGTTTACCTGTATCTTGGATGGCTTATGGCATAAATGTACGGGTCCAAGCAGGCCACGAACTTACACGCGCACGCCGGTATCATCGTAATACCGGGAGTCAAAAGAGTCTTGTCCCCGAAAGCACCGACCATTGCGAGAACGCCATACGGAGTCCATGAGAGAACGAAGAGGAAGCAGATCGTGATCGCAGCCTACGGAAAAAAAGAAGCTAACGATTTCGTAAGGGAAAGATGGTGATGATGATAATGATAATGATATATTTAACCCGTGAGGAGGAGGGATGGGGGTAACTTCCGAGTTAGTGACGTGTTTTTCGATGGATTTATTTCTGATGTTTCGTGAACTGAAATATCTGCGAAACAAATTAACGAAATATTCGCGAAAATATTCACAAAAAAGTTTATCGTATCTTGCAAATGCATCGAGCACCATGTGCAATGATCAATATTAATCATCGATTTCTGTCATATTATTATATAAAAAAGTGTGAAGGTGTTATCGAAAAGTGAATACTTTATGGGATATTTCATATCTTTTGTAATGAAAAATATCACAATAAAAAGTAAAATATCTCGAAAGGTATTCATTTTTCGATAATCTTACTCCAGTACTTTTATGCGCAGAAAGAAAAAAGGAATCGAATTGTGTAAAAAAAAAAAACTATAGGATTCATTAGAAAAAAATTAAGTTAAGACCTTGAAATGACCTTAAATTACTGACTATATATAATAAACTTCCTCGAGACCTCAAAAACTTTATAACTTTTGTCTGAAACAATTTTTCTATAGAGACGTGGGATAAAAGATATATAAATGCGTCAATTAAAATGGAACACTCTGCAAATATCTCAAATTACATTTATATACCGTACTTTTAATATCTCAATTATCAGTTAAGCTTTTGCATCATCAATGAAGGTCAGCCCGGCAGTCAACGTGTTAAAAAAAGACACTCGTTTCGCTTCTCGTAACTGGCAACAACCACATAGAGAAATCTTGAAGATACCTTGGCTATACGTATCTCCGCGGTCTGAGCGTTCGCGTTTACGTTGCTGCGAAGACTCTCGACGTTCATCTTCTTCGCCTGCTCACGGAGAGCCTTCTCGTGATTGACCACGTGACTGACGATCTGACTGTAATAGTATATGATGAGCGTCATCGGTATGCAGTAGGAGAAGGTGAAGATCGTGGCCACGAAGTATCGTGTCTCCGGTGTGTCCGTCAGATAGTCGAAGCTGCAGCTCGTGAGGAAACCCTCGGGCACAAAACGACCCCAGACATGCATCAGCGGCATCAACGCCCAGGGAATTGTGTACGTCCAGATCAGCACGATTAAGAGGAGCACTTGACCGCGCGATAGCTTCCCGTCCAGTGGCCGGGCTATGGTGCTGATCATTCGCGAACGTTAGAGATACGTGCTTGATTTGGCTTTCTTGTTGATGCCGCGTCCTTCGTTTGTTCTCGACGTTTCGTGAACACCTCACCTCAATTTATTTACCTCGGGTTTTAAGTTCCCGGTCATTTCTCTCTCTCTCTCTCTCTCTTTCTCTCACTCTTTCTTTCTCTCTTTCTCTCTCTCTCTCTCTCTCTGAAGAAATGCATTGAAATGTTCACGAAATATCGAAGACAAATCCTTGAAAGACACGGCACTAACTCGGGAGCCAAATGAAGCATTTCTCTACTTAAAATATCAACTGGAAATATGCGATCGACGGATTAAGCAGGGGTCTTTGACAAATTCACTACTCGGACGCATATTTGTCTTAAGTTAATTGAGGATTTACATGTTTACACTTGAGAATTCGGTCTCACGCGATACCTGTATCTGTCGTAAGCGATGGCACCGTTCGTCATGCCGGCTCCGATTCCACTGAGCGACCCGATGAAGGCGAAGATCTGACAACCCAAGTGACCCGTCGCGAATCCGGTGTTAAAGGAATTGTATATGAAGATGGGCGTCTTCAGCATCATGAAGAAATCGCAGAACGCCAAGTTTACCACGAACATATTCGAAGGTGTCCTCAGCGACTTGGCTCTGTGTGCAGGACATCGGGAGAAATGTGTTAAACATGATACAACTCTATGAACGCGTCAAGTTTTTATATCTCTTAAACCAAGAAGACCATACCGAGAAGATTATAATATAGATTCGCATTTGTGAAGAGAATTCTCGCGCTTCTCATTGTTTCTCATCGATCGTCTCTGAGAAATTCGATATTGCAATATATCGGCGAGAAAACCCATCTCAAGTGGTACAACACAGGTTGCTCGACTATTTTAAAAAAATTTCATATCAGTTATTACTCCTATATGCCAATAGTTCAAAACTATCAATAGTTTATTCACTTCATTTTTAAAATGACGGCCATCTGAAGACATGCTGGACAACAAGTCCAGAACTTAAAACCCGAGCAAATGCAGATATCTCAGAACTGGGGCATGATAGAATTTTGAAATAAAAACGATTGTTTTCAGTAAATTTTAGGCTGCATTCTTAGTCTAATGTATTAATTACCTAATTTCACCTTTTAATAGTGAAAAGAGTGGCTGAAATAATATTTACAAAATAATGACTTCAGGATACTTTTATTTCAGCTTCAAAAGAAATCTCAGGCTTCATTTTTTTTTTTAAACACGTATATATTAGTATCTTATTGCAAAAAGTTGGACTTTGATCTGACTTGTATTTTTTTGAGACACTTTTTTCTAAAAATCATTAATTTTATATCTAAATATCTCTGATTGGCGAATTAGGGAAAATATAAGTTTTGCCTCAAGTCAAGGTCCAAATGATACTAAGCTGCTATAAAAATCAGTCAAGTTTGAGACTCACATGAAATTATCTAATTCTAAAATGGTCGAGCAACCAGAAAATTCGGAATCGCACCACTTGAAATGGATTGATCCCTGCAGAACCGAGGAACACTCACGAGCAGAATATCCAAATGACCAGTCCGTTGCCGAGCAGCGCGACGAAGGTGAAGAGAATGTACACGATGGCCAGCAGATAGTGAAGAGAGGGATTGGGCTCGGGATAGACCAACCAATGTTCCGGTATGTGGACCAATTCCTCGGCAGGGACGTTCCATCCCAGCAATCGGGGTGGCCCTGCCGGTAGGATCCTCGCCTCCCAACGAGCGCTTCCGTTGAACATGTCGATCGTAATTGTCCGCCAGCCCCTCGCCTTACTTAATATCTCCGCATCGCCGAGCTTTTATATCTTCCCCGAGGCGGCTCGAATCCGCAAAACCTCAATTCGCCGGCTTAAATGGCTTCGTGGCGGAGGATCAGCCGAGGATCATCCCTAACTTTGCCGATGGTCAGCAAATATACACATGCATCCGCATTGCGTCAGTTAACTGCTGATGCTATCTATCAGCAATATCGCTCGCATTATGGCGTGATTGGACAGTTCTTGCCGGTTGTTATTTCTTTCCTTCTTTAGTTAGAATTCGAGATTTATTCTTCAACATTGTACATAAACGCTCACGGACGGAGCGCGCGTTAAAAAAATCGTCGTTAAAAAAATATAATCGGGAAGCTTCCGCGCTCTAACGATATGAAACGATGTTACTACTCATCCCGCAAATAATTTAGATAGTAGGAATAAAATTCGATATCGGAGAAAAACTTAACAATAACGCTGGTAAAAATAGATGTAACAATACTGGTAAACGTCGTCGCGTCTGGGCGTGGAATTTACTAAAGTAGTAGCAAAGTTCAAATTCGCATTACTAATCTCGATGCTTCATCATAATCTGCCTCTTCTCTCGGCGGACTTGTCGGTCAAGGTGTACGCCGGTAAGTAGGACGAGGGATCGTTGGGGTCCTTCAGCAAGGGGTTCTTCATCGTGCTGCTCCTGCTGCCGAGACTCGTGTATCCCTGGTCGTAGAGCGGGCAGTAAGGAACGTTGTGCTTCAACAGGAACGACCACACTTGACTGTAGGACCAATTTAAAATGGGATTAACGCGCATCAGCCGCGGCCAGTTCGGGTCGGTGAGCTCGAATGATTGCAGATTCGCCGAGCCGGGGTCGCCCTTCCTCGTACCCATGAGACTCGCTTTCAGATTATGCCTCTCTTCCAGAAGAGCCGACACCGCGGATCGCACGGGTCGTGGTTTCCTTACTATCGTCAAATCGTAGTACCGAGACGCTAATTCTACGAACGCCTCCACCTGCGTGAGTAATGTGGGCTCAAAATAGTGTGTCTCGATTGTTGTTTTTTCGTCACATTAGTCCGACTTACCTCCGGAAAGGCGTCCGCTGTCACGTACAGACAGAGCAACGGCGAGATATCGCGCGACTTGGCAACGGTGGCAGCTAAATGCAAGACCGCTGTGCAGTCCTTGCCGCCGTTAAAGCTTATAAAAACCTCATCGGACTTATATCTGGAGAAGAAACATATATAACGTGTATTATCGCAAGTATAATGTGCATGTTGTTAGGTGCTAATTAATTAATTTGTGCCGAATTAATTTGTACACCTAATAAATTCAACATTGCAGCTTTTAGTTACACATACCTATCGTAGCATTCCTTTACTATGTCTAACGCACACTTAACGTATACTTCATCATCTTCGAGAAGGGCGTTCATTTGAAAACGACTCAACCCGTGTTCCAGGTTCACGAGTTTCTGCACTGGTAGATAATACAAGATCTCCTCCTTCGCTTCGGCCACCGCTTCCTTCGATCCCTCCAAGGTGACCCTCGTAAAAGTCTGTGGTTCCAGTTGGAGGTAACTACCGATTCTCACTTTGCCGTCCCAGCGCTTCGCTTGCTTATCTAATATATTCACTATAGACAGTTCATTTGATTTGATATTTATATGTTCAAGGTGCAATGGCGTGCGTCCTTTTAGCTGAGGAACTATCGTGTTCACCGCAGCCTCGAAATATTTGGGAGAACCAGGCAGCACGTATGTATTTTTTACACTTATCACTGGGAAAACCTCTGGAAATTATAATGTAATATCATATATCGTTTATAATTGAAAACATCAAACCGAATAATTGTTCGTACATTGCAGATTCTTCTAGTTTAGGTACATAGCAAGTAGATATATTTTGCGCGAAAATATTCATGTTAATACGTTCTCAGGGCACATACCTGTAGAATTTACATTAATTATCTTGCAAGGCTTAGGAACGACAGCGAGTCGTCTTATCTCTTGCTGATCAGGATTCATCCGAGAGTACATGTCGACCAACTCCTGATGCGATTCGAGTTTCAATCTGAAAGCCTTTGCCACAGCTTCGTAAGTTACATCATTATGGGCAGGACCAACACCACCAGATGTGAATACAACAGAGTATTCCTGTGAGGCACTTCTTATTCTCTTAGCAATATCATCCACCTAACAGAGAAACGATGGTAGACAACAAGAAGCAATAGATATAAATTCCCGGGAATAAATGATTACATATATGATCATATGTGTCTATACAAAAAAAACAATGCTTTGTCATTTAATTAAATGTCGATATCATATACTGTCGGAAGCACAAATAACCAGAAGCATTTATTTCGATTATATTTGTATGTAATTTGTAAATAACAGTATTTTTTGTTGTGGACATATATGATTATATGTAGTTATATATGGCCAAATTTCATATATATGATCTTTTCTTCCCCCAGTTGTTAATTTAAATTACAGATATTACGAAAAGTCCTGAGCAAATAAAATGATACGCACTACATCGGGAACCACTGTGACTCTCTGCAAACTCAGCCCGACAGTTCTCAAACTTCTTGCCAGATACGACGTGTTGGTATCAACGATTTGTCCGTTCAAAATTTCACTTCCCACAACAATCAAGCTTGCCGTATACTGATCCATTCCGGCGTATAGTAGTTCTAAGTACGCAAACAGAAGGACAAGTGTATATATTCTTTTTTACGCAACACAGGACAGAATATTTGTTATCGCGAACTAGGTGTTCCCGATTACTTGTCACATATATTTATGGTAGATAGGCTTTATCTATTTCTTATTCAGTATTTCGTATTATGCAACTTCAACAATATAACGGCATGTGAAACAGCAACAAAAAAGAGAGAAAGCCAAATATATGTGATGAATAACAGATCTTAATATAATAGAGCCAAGTCTATCAAAGGTATCACGATTTGCAAATCGTCGGTTACAATTTCCAATCGAATTTACATGAATTTACACTCACACATGCACATTCACTCTGACAATAGCTGTTCCTATGAGAAATGTATGGCAAAATGAAAGACAAGAAACACAATATTGATACAGAATGATAACTTTATTGTTTGTTACATAGTATTTTGATATATACAAGTAGTGAAAATATATTTGAATTAAAATCTACATTAGTTCTCCGACCTATTACTATCTCCATTGTCATCAAAGTTGCATTTGCTCTACCATTGCAGCTGTTGAATTCGTTTGCTCTGGTGCAATCTTTGGTACCAAGGGTTTCTTGTTTGTCTTGGTATGTTTTTTTTGAGCGGTGTTAACTTTCGCCTTAGAGCCAGACCCTTGCACGTCCTTACGCAATTCCTCCAGCAGTTGGTCCACATTGGGTGTTTTATCTTTCTTTGCGGTCTTACTGCCTTTTACGTCAAGCTAATTCCAAAGCACAAAAATAATCAAATCTTTCGTTAAATATTCGTATTAGTATTTTTAACATTTTATTATCTTATTATTATACATATTTTCAGATCTGTCTTCGCATATATATGTAAGAAGAAAATTTGGAGAATTTTACATAATTATAAATTATAGTGTGGTGATAATTATTTAATTCGTTAATGCGCAATATGCAATTATCCATTACTTACTTTTTTCAGATTACTGACTACCTTTTGTGCTTTAGCTTTCAGCTTGATACTGCGAACAGTGGCCACTTTAAAGACATTTTTATTTTTACGATTGCCCTTGTTCTTTCCCATTGTTTTCTGTAACGTCATTATTTACAAATAAATTATCACACGATAGCCTCCTCTCATATTTAGTTCTCTTCATTGCTGGCTCCTTGCCTTTGATCATGCTCTCTTTCAGCAAAAATGACACACGAACCATCTCTTTGTTCGTCGAAACGCCTCTAACATTGTGCAAACTGACGAGAGAATCATGAGACAGCGTACAATCAATCTTTTCTTCAACCAATAACTTCCCGAGCTTGCAAATATCATCTAACTTATCCGTTTTCACGAAACAATACACGTGGAATGTAGGTGGCTTAAGGCAGACCTGTCTAAGCTCTTCTTGCGTGAACCAATCAGGTAATATATCCAGAAATTCAACAGCTGACGCGGGTAAATTCATGATTATATGCTCGGAACCGGGCGAGTCTCGAGCGCGTCTCGACAGAATATCATTCTTAACAATAATTCTCAAAAAGTCCCTGCCATCCATGTTAAAAGCTTGGAAGTTATTCTTTATTTTATTAGCGGTGGCATTGATCTGGAGCCACTTATACGATTCGGGATTTAAGTCATTGGCGAGTACCCTGACACCTCTGCGCGCAGCAGGCACAGCAAAGGGCCCCACCCCTGCAAATACGTCGTACAGAACGTCGTCTTTCATCATGCATGCTGCTAAATGTGTGCGTTCAGTGGACAGACGTGAATTCCAGTAAACTCGCGCAAAATCAAACTGATATGTATAGCCGTGTTCTTTCATGGTTGTTACCGTATTCTTTTCGCCGGCCAGGATCTCCATGCTAAAATATCGAAACGTCGTGTCGATAGCGTTCACTTTGTTTACTATTGTTCGTACACTCGACGTTTTGTCGAGAAACACTTGACCAATGATATTTTTGTAGGGCAAATGCGTGTCACGCAGATTCAATTGCATTATATGCCCCACCAAAGTGTAAGCTGTAGGAGACTGAATGTCCTCTGGTAGAACTGCTTTTAATATCTCGTGACGATGCCAATTCTCATACTTCAGCGTGACGCTCTTAATGCCGAAGTATTCATACTGACCCGCCAACGAGTTCCTATCGTTCTCAGTGATATCCTCGAATTTCGTGACAACGTTCGGATTTAGATAAACAATAACTTCGTCGCTTGTCCTATGAATTGGCTTGAATTCAGGCAGCTTTAAGATATACTTCCTTAAGATAGGCTTAATATTTGAGATAGCGATGTTACTCATCAATTTTAATATCGGTATGTTCACGACTGTTGTAAATGCGTCACGATCCAAGCAAGTCATTCCACGGACTGACATCGGAGGAACCAGCAAGGAAGTCATAGCAGTTCTATAAAAGTTGTACTGGCTTTTCAAACAGCAGCTAGAATGCACCACAGCACTGAGGAATCTGCCCACTGCCATATACTGACAGGATCAAACACTGCACAATAATACAAATCAGTGATAGACACGGCTTTTTTGCTATAATTTTCAGCGATTAATAAAAGATAAGAAATAGTAATAGCATTGTTCTCATTAAACCTTGTACTTATACACATGTTTATAGATATGTTACACTTGTAGTTTTTATAGCATCTTTGCAATTTCTAATATTTTAATAGGACACATTTTTTATAAAATTAAAATTAAGATTAAAATATTGATATTCTATTGAAGGGCCCCATATATAATCTGGCTTTTGCATTAGCTTTAAGATGATTATTATATACATTTCATTTATCCTCTAGCAAACAAATCAATGATAAGCAACAATATTCTTTGTGTATATAAGTACTTCAACTAAATGATAAATTAAAATGTATTACTTTTGGTAACATATTGCAATTAATAATTTTCTCCCCTTCTGCAGTATTTGATCCTGTACATTAGCAGAGATTCTTTTCTCTAGAACTAAATGTACAATCTTCCCTTTCTACTTCTTTTTCTTTAAAATTTAGAAATACTGTTCATTTGTTTAAAAAAATGTGAAAAGATGCAACAGCAAGCAGGTGCAACTAGGATACAATGTTATCGAGATGCAACTAATATTATTGCATCTTTGTATCTTCATAAAATAATGCAAAAGAAATGTTTTCAATAAACTAATATCGTAATAAATCAGTGTAGAAATCGCAAAGATGAGAAAGTATACGTTTCTCGAAAGGTTGGGTTAGGTTAGGAAACACAATTTTATAATGTATCGTAAAATACTGAATGCTGATAAGAGTATAAAAATGTTATTTACCTCGTTGATAAGAAATATCTAGTGGTAATTAGCGTACGAAGTTAAATATGTCAATTGATCCTTCGACACGTACTCAACCTTCTATTCAAATTTTTATGTGAACTAAAGATCAACGTGTTTAATGACTCCTACACACAGAATGTGGAAGCCCTCGCCGTGCAGCGAAAAACGATGCGATGGCCAATTAACTTTTATTTCTTATGGAAAACTGCACGTTGATTGGCTACCGCGTGCTTCTTGCGTCTCTCGCTATCGCGACAGACCTTTACGCGTTCTGTGAGCAGAACCATAATATTCTGAATTTTCTTTGGCTGCGTTCAGAAAACACAATCGATCAATAAACGGTCAGTGATTATTGATCTTCACTGTTAAGTTGATATTCATAATCGGATCCTATATTTAAGACCGACTTAAGTTTATTTTCAGATGTTTTGCAACCAATGAGATGAGCTGTACAAATCTGAAGATGAACTTAAGATGGTCTTCTGTACAAGATTCGATTATGAATATCGAACTTAGATTTCTAAATTTAACCAATTGTAGGCAGATTCCACTTAACGCTCGCAACGACGCGAGTCATTCTATCTTTGTTTTTCGCTGAGTGTTAAATAAAGATAGAATGACGCTCGCGTCGTTGCGAGAGTTCAATGGAATCCGCCCTAGTTGACGAATTATTCAACCGTTGTACAATATTATATTTTCTGAACGCAACCTTTAGTTCCGGTTTACAATAGATGCTTTAAGCTCTAAGCCTTAAGAAATTAACCAATCACAGTCGAATATGAAGCGATTTATAAAAGAATAATTAGTTGTGATTAGTCAATTTCTTAAGGCTTAGAGCTTAAATTCTCATTGTAGACCCCACTTTTGTTACACGGATTAGGTCTCTAAATAAAAGGTTCTTGAAGGAACAGATCCAGGTAAACGGGTTTCCGAAACATCAAAAAACACTTCGTGCGACGTCAATTTTTTTGACGGCTGTCGTCTGAAATGAGTCCGAATAACAATTCCTAGATTAAATAAAGCTTAAGGCACCTGGTCCCTCGATGCAACTGTCCTTGTTTGATGACGTCGAAGCGAAAAAACGCATACTAAGAATTTTTGCATTATACGTTCAAATAAAAAGTTATATACAAAATAGTATATATGAGTGAGATATTATGTATTGTCTAGGTTGATGTATATTATTGACACATATATATATATATATATATNAGAGCACGGGCGTATAACAGACAGCTTACTGGTCTACTATGCCTATGATCCTAATAGAAGCTGAAATATTTACGCTCGTGTCTCCTCTCGGAAGGCAATGATCAACCACCGAGAATATCCTTACCTAATAAAAACCTCTCTAAAAATGTTGCCGTTCGGAGCCGGCGTTAAATTATAGGTTCCATATGCCAATGTATAATCAATATCCGCAGACATGTGACAGGTCACTTTACACCTGGCCACGGATATAAGACTAGAAGAAGAAAAAGAATATATATTATTTCAATATCTGTCGATGTTCGCTGTTATTGTATTGTTTTCAATACTTGCCTTCAACAAATATGTCATTATAATATTTTTGGATTAATATAAGAATATAAGCATAATTCATAAAAATATCATTAGAGTTCATTGGCATCCAATTATTGAAGTCAAGTAGAGTCCTAGATATGCGGCGCATAGGCGTTAGGTATATCATCTTTTAAATGAATTCTCACCAAATAATTATCATCAATGATAGGTTCGGGTCCGTTATAAACTTCGGGGATTATTTCCTTTAATTGCCCTTTTGTTGGCTCATCGAGATTCGCATGATTCTCATCTACCTGTTGTCTGTTCAAAGCTCGGTTGAAAGCTACGCGAACCGACTGCACAATACTGCATAGCGGCGGCGATCCGCACTCAGTCGTTGCTTGAGGACGGGCTCCGATAGTCCACATAGGCGATTGGCTACAGAGTCTCTGAAGATAAACTTAAGACGGCTTAATATCCGATTACGAATGCCGGCTTTAGAGTTATTTTTCCTCGGTAAGGGAGAATTAGGAACACCTTGACGGATAGCAGAAAAGCAGAAGCCAATCAGAACTCGCGCTGGTAGTAAGCTAGATAAAATAGTAGATAAAGCAGAAACTGTAGACAGCACCGCGAGTCCTGATTGGCTGCTGCTTTTCTCCTTTCAACTTTTCTATCAAGATTTAAGGCTGCCTCCCCATGCGCCGTAACTTGCGCAAGCGTAACTTACGTCAGCTAATCAAATCGTATCTATTACTCAATTACTAATTACCACGGCGGATTTGATTGGTTGACGCAAGATACGCTGCATGGGGAGGCAGCCTGAATTCTTCTTAACCAATTACCATCTGTTATGACGAGTTTGTCGGATGTGTCGATTGGCTATCGGATAAGGAATTTCCAGGGGCTCTAACATTTTTTGTAGACATTCTGATTCTATATTTAACAAGTAATTAGCACATCCGACAAACTCGACACGAAATAGCATCCTTAGGTTTTAATTCATGAATATTTTATTACTAAATATCAACATTTAGTTTTTACAATTATATTAAAACCGTCATTATAATGAAATTGTTAGTTAAGATTCTTCAATAAATTAATATGATTACAAATAATTCTCTTATGATGGACACAGGGTTGCACACCTTATGCGCTTGATATGAAAACTTATTATTACAAAGATATAACTTGACGCAAATTTCTTCCTCGCGGCAAATGTTGCCAGAGTCATTAGAAAATAGGAAAGTAATGAATTTATTAGGTACGCATGCATGAGATTTCAATTCTCGCGAAAGCATGCGAGATTATGGTTGTCTTTCAGCAAGAGATACAAGTTGACACAAATCTAGTTATATTATTATTTGCCTTTATTTCATATTTGAAAAAAAAAGAAAAGAATAATATCTTCTGCCCGCAGGACGCGGCAGCGCTTACTGTTCGGCGAAAGTTCGCGCGGTAGCCAACCAACGTGCCGCTTTTCCACAAAAACTAAAAGTTTATTGGCTGCCGCGTCATTTCTTGCCGCGTGACAAGCATTTGCGCGTCCTGTGGGTAAAAACCATAATAGATGACATAATTAGATTTGTGCTGACTTGCATCTTTTCTGATGGAAAGCAATCAAAGGCCGATATTCATAATCATATCTTATATGTGAGATCGTTTTAAGTTCATTTTCAGATGCTTCGTAGCTAATGAAATGAACCGTACAGCATCTTAGGCCGGTATTCAAAGTCGGATCTTATATTTAAGACTGTCTTAAGTTTATCTTCAGATGCTCTACGACTCATTTCATTGGCCACAAAACATCTGAAGATGAACTTAAGGCGGTTTTATATATAAAATTCGGCTATGAATACTGCCCTGCATTTTGAGATATACGAACTCCTGTTCATCCATTTTCTGGCCATGTAGTTTGGTCGAGTTAGACTGTCAAGTTATTCTTTAGATGTCTCTACAGCTCTTACTACGATTCAGCATATGCATTAATTGGAATAAATTTGTTTATGTTTTATAAATGATGACTTGTTTAACATGATCATATAAAACAAGTTATGGAGAATTCTATGACAGACGGTAGTATTAGTAATTTTCTTCCGCAATCATATTCCCTGGGTATTGAAAAGTGAGTTAATAATGTAATATATAGTGAATGTTTTATATATTTAATATTTTTACTTGATAACATATATTTAATTACTTATTAAAGAAAAATATTGCTATTATATTATTATTTGGTTTGCAGTATTACAGGAACCAAAGACTATATCGTTCATTTTCAAATACCTAAGGAAGTCTTGGAGAACCGGATAAAAACTTGGGACAACTTATTTGATAAATATTTAGAAAAGGTATATTTATTTTTATTCATATTTTTATATAAATCGCATCATGAAATCTGATTTGATTTGTCGATGTACCTTAATACAAATATTCATATTTTTATTTTATTTTTAGATGTCAGATGATATAGAATTAAATCTTGAGACTTTGGAGCCTGAAGAGGAAGAATTTAGTGATGAAGATTATAGTTGTGGAGTACCTATATGCAAATCAGCAACATTGATTCAGTATTGGATAAATACTGGCAATACAGGTTATAGTGCACTTTTTAAAAAGAACGAATCGTCTGAATCTGATTCATTTGTATTATCTCTAAGTGAAGAAGAAATTGATTCGCCAATATATTCTTCATTTTTATCTAAGGTAAATGAAAATGATAGCCACAATCATAAGAATGACACATCTTTTAGTTCTGTTGACACAGCAACTTATATTTTATCAAATACAAATATTACAAAGAAAGCAGATGCTATGGCCATTATGGAGGGTGCAAAATCCAATAGTGTTAAATCTTCAAAAAATTATTGTTTTGAAGATGCAACGGCTATATATAGTGATAAGACAAAAAAAAACGAAGGAAACGAGGAAAAAATGGAGAAAACAGCAGCAACTGACAGTGTAACATGTAACAAGAATAGTAGTGATGTTTCGCATAACACTTCATATTCTATCTCACAGGAAAAGGTGGCACTAAAAATCAATAATGAGCTAGGCACTAGTAAGGTAATATCTATCAATACAATACAGCCTGATATGTCCTCACTGAACTCACAGAGTTTACTTTGTGATATAGTAGACAAGACAGATGTATTAGAAACTAGTCAAAATAGTCCAAATTCACATAAAATGAAAAACATTGTATCTATTATGCAACATTTTAACAAAGTATCAAAACAATGCTCTATAGGTGATAAAAATCATAACACTTTAGATGAAAGTAAAGTGTTAAAAAAACATAGTATTGACAGTAAACAAGTGTCAGCAAGTATGGCGAAAAAAAAAGTTAAAGATCATTCGATATCGTTCCATCGTAAGAAATTGTATACTGGTAGGAATTCTCCTGTAGATTTAGCAGTTACCATTACATGTAATACTGATCTAAAACAATCTAAATCACCTAACATAAAATTGAGCACAAATTCACATCCTGCTTTAGATCCTGATAATTTGTCTAAAAAAATGTCTTTAATTTACAAAAACAAACATTCGTTTCCTTCCAGTACAAAGATTCTTAGTCCTAAGAATGTTCGAACTAAAAAAAGAGGGAAGAAGAAACCTTATTCTGTTTCTAATAAAAATATTGCCAGTGAAAGAACAGATGTAACAAATGATAACAGAATTCTAGATTCTACTGTTGATAACTCCTCAAAAAATTTATCGGTTTCCTCCAGTAATGAAGACAAAAGAAACGATGATAATTTAATCAGAGATTGCAACGATATTAACATGTCAAAGGAAAACATAACACAAAGATGTGATTTGACTTCTGATGAGAATCAGGTAGTTTTATTGGAACAGGCATCTCTCAAAAAACATAAAGCAAAATCTGATGAAAATGAAAATATTACGCAAGACAATAACGTGCGCAAGGACTCAGTTGCATCAACACTAGACGCCTGCGACGTTGAAAATCTGGGATTGACATCGTCAGATAGTAACCAAAGTACTATTTTGGTTTACAAATGCAATAATATTGCATCGCAAGATTTGTTATCTACAAGCAGTTCTCTTTATCTAAAACAAAATTCTATAGAGTGCAACTTGTCTGTTATGAATTCAGAACAAATAAATAGTGAACCGACGAATTTGAAAAATGCCTATATAAATCAAATAAAAGAATCATTCGTAAGATTAACACGATTACCGCAATCGGTACACGAAAATGATATCAATACAAGTCAAGTTTTGAATATGAACGACGATCTTCCTGTCTGCCCGGAAAAACCATGTAGGTCTAAGATGGATTCTTCCAATTCACATGGAACAAATATTAAGAATGACGTGAAACTCCGAGAAGTTAGAGTTGTATTGCAACGATTACCAGTTGATACGTATTTTAAAGGTAGCAGCAGTACTACAAATATAAGTTCTCCTGCTGATAAAGATAAAGTTTCACGAAATGCAAATACAGGTAAAAATAAAAGAAAAACTCTTTTAAAAAAAACGATTAGAAGATCGAATGGCAAAAAGGAAAAGACATCTGCTCGAACAATTCATAAAATCAACAATAGTTATTCGTTAAGAGTACGTAGAGAATCCAAGAAAGATGACGATGAAATAAACAACACATCCAACAACGTTGCCAAGCGTAATGACGAAGTTTTCAATGCAACAAAATCAAACTTTATATCTCCATATCAAAATCACAATAGTCGAGTAAGCCAAAACAGGTGTAGAAAATTCTCAGTTTTAGGTTTCATCTCATCCTCAGATGAAGATGATTTGGCTCAATTGATACGACCTCCCACAAAAAGATTGAAAACATTGATAGACGACAAGACAAGCAAAACTCGTACTACAAACAAAGATATATATGACGAGACTAAATTAGTTAGTACGAATAAAGATAAATACGATTCTAAAAACATAAATATGAGAATCTATTCTTCAAAGCAGGATAATTTAAGAAAGATCAATAAATGGACAAGAGAGAAAAATAGACGAGGTATGGTCGGAACAAAATCTGGCAGTGATACGTTAAATGACTCCTTTCGTATATATAAATATAAATCCTCGTTCTTCCCACGCAGAAATGATCACAGCGATAGTGCTACGAAGGATTCAAATATATCGCAAAATAAATATTTATTTCCTACCAGTAAAAATATAAGTAATAATAATGAGAAATATATAAATGAAAGGATGGAGGAGAATAGGATAAGCCATAAGAAAGACACTTGTGTCACACTTTACCAAACTAAAACATTCAATAGAGATTCCTCTACAGATTCCTCCGATTTGGATAGATATAACAACGACACATTTATCTATAAGTCACCAAAAACTGCTTCCGTATATAATAATGCGCGAGATAATGGTCATACTAACAAGGAACACTGCAATAATCCCTATGCAAAGATATATACCAATAAACGACCAATATACCAAGACGAATATACTGAGAAATATGTTGCAAGCAAGATGCAAAATTTGAAAAATAAATCGAGATTAACAACTGGCACGGCAGCTAAAACAAGCGAATCATTTGACAAAAGTTTTAATAATAACATAAATTTGCGTATTACAACGGAAACTACGCCTTATGTTTCTTTCATAAGTAATGCACGAGATTCAGCTATGCAAAGAGATAACACGATTTTAAATACTTCCCATCAGTATAATGATCTTAATAAATTACAGCAAGATAGACAGATGTCAAAGAAATTTGATTTGATGAATTTTCAAGATAATCAGCAACGCAATATTACATTTAACATAACAAATTGTTTGACATTTCAGACAAAAAATTATTATTCGGATTCAGATTCGGATTCGAATTATGGAAACTTCTCTAAAAATTCATAATATACATAACATTCTTCATATATGTTTGTTTACAATTTGTAGAGATATAAATTCAATATCTTTAACGTTTAAACAATTAGCAATATGCTAGTAGATTGATAATAGATTCGATCAGGATATCGTGATAAATCCAACTGCGTTCGCTTTATATCGGCAGATTATCGGCAGAAAAATAATAGATAATTTATCGTGTATTTTATTTATATCATATACTATATATTATATTTGGATTGAATTTATACAATTTTTAAAATTCTGTTGCCAATCTGCTACTATATTTTGCAATGCGGAGCCTATATTATATTATTATTATATTATTATAGTATATTTCCACCGGTAAACTACTAACAAAATTTAGACTGAGTTCTTTGTAAAATTTTCCTTAATATTTAACCGTCTGATGCTATATGCCGACCATAACATGTCCTAAATGATGAAAATGTATTGCGTGTATACTGAATTAAGCGTACTAAATTTAAGATGGACTTATTGATAATAATATGATAATAAAATTAACAGTACATCGTTTGTATAATGCTGATGGCTAGTCAATCATGATTGCGTTTTACAAGAATTAAAAGATAATATACGAACAAAATTCAATTAATAAAAAATAAATGGAAATTCTTTTCGTGAGCATAAAGAGAAAAAAATTAAATGAAAGTTTTTTGAAAAAAGTATCAAGTATTATATAAACGATATACTTCTTATTTATTGATTGCATTATTTTTTGATTATTTGTAGATTGCATTTAAAAATTAAATGGCGCATAATTATAACATTATTCTTAAATAAGGCAAATTCACATGTATAAAGACTAATAAGAGAGGGAAAGAAAGAAAGAGAAAAGGGATTTCGCATAATATTATTGTACCATCAAGTTTTAATACGCAATTGATCCCCGAAAAATGATCTTCCTAAATGATTAATTATTTTAATACAAATTCTTCGTATTTTTATTCTTTTAAGTTTTCAAACTTTATACGAAATATAAAAACTTCTTGGAAATATATTTTATAATTATAAGATTTAGTTTATTACCACTTATATTATCTTATTTAATATATTTTAAAGTGAGTTTTCTTTTATCACTACATTTGAAGTCTTGTAATATAGTACTTATTGAAATATAAATATAGATATTTATATAAATCAAATTTATAATTTTATAATTTATATAAATGAGTTTATAATTGATAAATTATTTGTGTGTGTGTGTGTGTGTGCGTGTGCGCGCGCGCGCGTGTGTGTGTGTGTCAGAATTTTAGTACAAAGATAGTTGAGATAGGATTAATGATATATTTGTATGTTGATATATTACCTCTATCGCGTTGCTATACCAAATACGTGTTGTCTAGAGAGAAACAAATGAAGTGGATGAGAAACATATCCTTCCAGAGCTAAGGATGTCCACGACACTTTTTCGAAACCGGTATTTTCTATTTCCGTAACACAATCAGCGTCTAAGCGACAATCGCCGAATAAAGAAGGCCATATGCCTGTTCGTGTTAAGGCTATTTGTAACCATCGTACAAAAGTGTCTTCCTTCTCAAGCACGTGTTCTACGAAGATATATTTTCCGCCCTAGAAATTCATAACGAAAACAACGATATATAAATGTTAACATTTTATAATTTTGCAGTCATACGAATTTTTCATTTCTAGCAACTAGTATTTTTTATATTTGATTAACTGAATTAAAAAATTATGTTATCCAGAAAAAGAGGTAATTAAAGTCTAATCGAAATTGGATTGGAAATTTAATTGAAAATTTATTTCGCTTTCCATTCTCTACTTATAATAATAACTCGTCATAATAACAATTGTACAAAGCAAAGTTTTGATTTCAGCATATAGTTTACGGTTTTGCGTAAATCATTCGTACCTGGGCTAACACTCTGTGAATTTCCTGAAGAGTGGACCGTACTGATTTCACGGAACATAGTGATCGAGTTGTCACCACCACATCCACGCATCCTGTTGGTATTCCCTCCAACGAACTCCCATCGCCCACTATTAATCGTTCAATAATCACGTGAGAAAATTGCCACGAGCGTCCACTTTTCACCAGATATTCGCCTAGTTTGGTGTTCCAATCGACGCCGATGAGATGAGTACCCTCCGGATAAAATCGTATATTTTCACCTGTAAAGATTTTATGTCAAATGTATAATTCTTCAAATAACGTTTTAATTCATATGCGAGATAAACGATACAATAATAACAGAGGGATATTACAGTTGTATAACTAATTACTGTGTCATTGTAAAGTGTAATGGAATTAATTATCCATCGTCAGTCAATTACGATAAATATTTACAAAAAATATATCTTTGATATATTTTTTGTTGATGTTACATTATCTATGAAAAGTATATCGCAGATGTGCCTGTTGTTAATTGTTAAAAGAGATATCTATAAAAAATATACCACGGCTGCTATGTCTATATATAATTTGAAGATATCAATAAAAAGAACTATTACAAGGAAGTTACAGAAAGGTATTTTTCCAGTTGAAACTACGGAGAGGCAGTTCTCAATCACCCAGACGTTTTGCCATAAAGTACAAGCTTCTTTCTATGCCAGAAAATTGAAAATAATTAAGAAAAAATTTTGGAGCGGACGAACCGAGAAGCCTTCAAAGTGTTTTTCCGGATCGGCAGGCATTTCAGTTTCGCACTTCGGAAATGCGTCGTTTGTAAAATCGCAAAGGGATACCGTATGCAAGTCCGATTCACACCCGTCTTAACGCCGATCTCGAGTATACGAATGGAGCCCATAGATCGAAGTATTTCGTCGTTGGAAATAATACATTGTAGTACTTTGAAGAGGTGCTCTTTGTACAGACTGGCCAGTTCAGCACACTCCATCTCGAATCCCAAAAGATGAGCCTTGTAAGTGTTCCTTCGTAGTTTCGGCAGTTCCCGAATTATCCAGATCACGATGCACAAGATGATCATCGCGATCACTCCGTAGCTCGCGAGTATATCACGTATCCACAAGTCATTGTTGCTCATTTCGAGCGAAATTATCGAAAAAAGAGCGACGCGAGGAGACCTTACCAAGATGAATCTCTAAAGCAATGCTCGGGACTCGGAACTTGCACTGACGTTCAGACTATTTTCGGACGCCATGTACCTATTGTCCCCGTCTCGTTGCTCAATGTCTTATCAGCGCACAAATATATCCACACGAGGGCGAAATTTGAAGACCGATATGAGATAAAGCATTGCGCGCCTCAGCTGAATTGCAGCTACTGATTGCTAAGCCGCGAATCGACTATACTGTAATGCGGCTCTTCCAGCGTTCCGTTCGATTAATTATTTCTCTGGGAAAGTTTTTACTGTATATATTGACCGATTCACTTAACGTGGGCAGCATAAATGCGTCGTCGAATCGTTATGATAAGATAAGAATTATAACTTTGATCTTTGTACATGTAAATCTCATTCACGCGCTTTATATGTGATGTATCGTTAATCGATCTTCGTAATGTAAGAGTTCTCTCTCTCACTGTGATTCTCTTCGTCGACTTTCCCACTCCTTGTGAAAAACAACTTATACTTCTTAAAACTATTTTTACCTCTTTTATCAAGAAAACCAACGTAGGAAAATAACCGAAACTTTAGAAAATCGTAAAATGACAGACATTTGATTGCGAATTACGATCGCGTTCTATAAATTGTAATTCAGATAAACGCCTAATGATATTTTCCGGGAAGGAAAGTTCCAGGTGTGTTACGTCGAGATACAAAAGCTGTTTTCTTGTTTTACTCTACTCACGCATAAGAGGTAACTCGCGCCTGTGGTGGGAGACTTTGCTGAATCAACAACGAAATTCAACGATTCTCAGCGAAATGCATCGGCGATTTGGGAGTCGTGCTCGCGCGGTGGACGCTCTTGAACAAAAGGAAGCCGATTTCCGAACCGTGCCCGGCTGGCGTTTCGTCTGCGAGGTGATTCCGGGGTAGAATGGGAAAACAAGTAATCGCTTCGAGCCGGAGGAGCACTGGCGAAACAATGCTCTTGCAGTTTTCGAAACTCGAGAAAGAGAGTGGCGGCCGCCACAAAGAGGAGTGTAATCAGGATGAAAGCGAGAAAGAGAAAGAGAAACGGAGAGAGAGGTAGGAACAGTCGAGCAAAGCGAAAACGTATCGACACTGGGGGGCACCCCTTTGTCCTAGCCAGCCTCAAGAGTGACCACAAACAAAAAGCGCGATCGAGCAATTTCGGACCGCTCGGCCGAGTGCGTGCACGCCGCGCTCGACGCACGCAAATCCCATTGAGGGGCATTTCGTGAATACGTGGAGAGGCGTTTTGTTTGCGACATCGGGGCGGGGAGGAGGCCGGCCGTTTTCACGGTGGCTCGTTGATTTGAGAAAATCGCCGGCGGAATGAAACGCATCTCTCGCCTGATGGTCGTTTTTATCCGACGGACGCGCGTCAGACACCGAATAGTACATACCATCGTTTTCTCTCTTATTTCCTCAGTAGAGACCTAAAAACGCTTCTTTCCAAGCGCCCCGATTACTTTACGATTACTTTACGATCACCATATATCATTTTTGGATCTTATTTTAAACCAACGTGTCAAACTAAATTAATTTCAAGTTAATTTTACGAGACTTCTTACTCTTTTATCCATGATGTTGTCACGTCCGTGGTTTCTCTCTCTTCCTCCCTCAATATCTGTCTCCAGAAGTCTAATAAGACCTTCTCCCCAACGCTATTGATCGAAATAATTAAAGATAATGATTTGCTTGTATACAAAGATCGTTATTCTTAAGAAATCTATTTTACCAGGTTGATTAATCTTTCGTTATTATTAAATACCTCTTCGTCACGTCTATGCTAAACTTGTTTAATGAATCCGATTCGATGTATCGAACGTTGCGGCTACTTTCGAGTTACCGCATTGATCCTAAAGAGATATATCGAATCGGTGTCACAATTTCTACGCGTGAACGCAATGATATTTATTATACTCGCGTTGGAATATGAGAGAGAATGAAATGTGTAAAACTGGACAAAAAAGGAGTACGGATTTATAAAATATAAAATGTTGAAGTAGATCAGGATCACACGATCATATGCACTTCTCGATCGTTTAATTCAAAATCTATTTCGCGCCCACTTCAAGTGTAACGAACAGTTGCCATATTGGTTTCGCGCGCGTTCGGCGAGGAGCACTGCTGCGCTTGATTATGAGGTATATCGACTTATAAAGCGAAAAATATTGTGCATCCAAACGTATATTGTATGTGTACGACTTATACATGTTTAGTATTCGCTATTGGATACATATCCTCATTCAATATCCGTAAGGATGCTCATTGGCCGGTTAACTCACAAAGCTAACCTTTTAACACGTACATGGCCGTTATACGTGGGACAATATTTATTCACCACATTATACTGTACAATATTGTATGTATAAGTAATAGATCATTGAGACATTTTGAGAATTAAAAAACGGGTGTGTAGTAAAATCAGGTAAGAGATAAGTCACAAATAGTCCAGACAATCAAATCGAGACGTAAGACGTCGTAAAGATGTTATAAAGACGTCTTTCAGATGTTATATATTAAAGTACATCTTTAAGGTATCTTATGTCTCGATTTTAGATATTCTGTTGTCCAGGAAAAAAGAATAATGTATACGTATGTATTTATAGATATATATGTGTGTTTAGGGTGATTGTGGGACATTTTGCGCTATTTAAAGTTTATAAAGATATGAAAATTGTACTCTGAAGTGTATCTCGATTCTATACAGTCGGCATAATAAAAGGTGCATCCTTTTTTCGGCGAGTTTCGTACAGCTTTCTGTGTTTGATAGGAAAATTGATTTCTTAAATAATTTTCAAGAAATACATTTTCTTGTTGGGAATAATCGTGATTCATTTATAAGAAATAAAAGTATACGACAATTGGAAATACGAAATACGTTGCGGAACTCATCGGAAAATAAGTTTATCTTTTATTACTGACTGTACCGATAATGCTAAGGTTAAGAATAGCAGAGCACGATAACGGGTCGGTAATCACGTACACGTTAGTCGATAAAAAAGAGCTCGATGAATAGAACGCGCGAAACACAACAGATGTCGCGATGTTCCACACTGGCGGTTATTCTTCGCGTTTCGCACGTATTACTTCTCTCTATTTGTCACAAGTGAATTGCGATTATTTGTGACGTGTAAAATCTCGAACTATCGTCACATCGTGTAACGAATTACTCGTTCCTTTTTTAGTATTCGTGTTTACACGCGGCCCACCGTTGCAAAGAATTGCGGCGATAAAGCTCCAGGCAAATTTTTTTGCGGTTAGAGCGGCCATCTTATTGTTCGGTAAGTGAATTTTTCTTTTATGCGTTTTATACTTTTCCATCGATAACATGTAATTAAACATCAGAAATAGGAATACACAATTCTATACTTATTAAAATTATCTTTCAAAATCGCCAACATCCTATTGATATTTTCATATTTTTCACTTTTGTCATATACTTTTATTTCCTATAAATGCATCACGATTATCAACAACACATGAAATCTTGAATTATCTTTGCATCGTGTAAAGAATTTTTCGTTTAACTTTTTCAGTATTCGGTTTTGTACGGAACTGTTTATCACGCATACAGTTTCGGCCACGAGGTTTCAACTGAATTTTGAAGCAGTCATCTTACTACACGGTGAGTGAATTCTTGCGATTCTGGTGAGCGAATTTTTGCGATTAACACAAGTATTAAATGTCAAAAATTAACACAAGATTAATACGTTAACACTGAAATATAAAATATATTATTTGAACATTTATACACACACATGTTAAATATCAACACGACATGAAAATGTTGAGATAACATAAACACAATGTGTTACATTGTGTTCATTAGTTATTAGTTATATATTAAAAATTTAACGCAAAAATGTTAACGAGGACCGATTTTAACGCAAATATAAAATATTTTTCACTGTGCAGGAATATATTTTACATGTCATCTTACAATTATTATTCCGAATTTTTGGAATTTCATCGATATTCATAGTTTATCTTAATATAACAACTGGGGGGTTACATTTCTTTCTCGAACTAAATCCGGATAACGCAGCCGTTTTCGCGACTTCACAAACGCACGCGTAATAATAACGCGCGTAATAATATCGCACGCGCGCGCTATACAAGAGACAGATACGAATTGCCTGACGCGCAGGTATTAGAACAAATCGAGAGAGCCGATGCCCCGTCCGAAAGACGACATATGCTGGCCGCGTGCGTTACTAATAAGTCGGCGTCGCGTGTCAAAGGGACGTCACATGCGACCGCGCGCGCGTCGCCCTTCCTTTCGCCGCGGTTCTCGCGCAATTAGCCGGGCTAAATGCCGCTACACTTTACGTAATCGCTCGCCTCCTGCTCTCGCCGCTTATCCTTCCTGGCACAAAACGAAGTAAAGAGAAAAAAGAAGAAAGAAAGAAAGAGAGAGCCAGTCGCTAACGACGACATCTGCCGTCGTACGCCTCCGCCGTTAGGCGACTCTCTCGACTACGAGAAAGTGCGACGCGTTTAACGGACACGTTGATTTATATTTGAATCAAGCACTGATATCCAGCCGATATCTTCCGATATGACTATCGGAGGCACGAGTGTGCGTTTAATACGTCTGAATTTCGTTAGATTTTTGTTAACCCTAGCTAGCCACACTCACTTTTCGAGTCCTTAATTCGCCACGCTCCGGTCTATGAACTCTTTGTCACCTTGTCATTTTCGTTCTAATTAGTATTTTAAGCTTGTAATATGGGAATTGAAAATACAGAGCCTGAATAAGATATTCATGATATCAGGTCGAGAAAATGATTTGAGTTGAAATTAAACTTTATTATAATAAAAAAGGAGTGTTTTTGGAAAAAAAAAGATTCTCGAAAGGCTTTGCAAATGCGATTTTTTAAGAGAAAGTAACGTTCGTTGTTATAGTGGATACCTGATATACTTTAAGAGAGAAAAAATAATGTACTATGTGAAAATTAGGAGACGAAACGTTCAATGGTCCATTGGACGCGGGAATGTGGTGAGTTATATGGAGAAAAATTAGTCATATATATAAATCAATGATAGATATTTCCATATATAAACAAGAATATTATAATCTTTTTAAAAGATTTTTAGTCTTGATTTGATTGAATTTGTATTAATGTATCACTTGCTCTCACTTCAAAATTAAAAATCTTTTAAAAATATAATATTTTTGTTTATATGTATGAGAATATCTATTACTGATTTATATAAGATTATTTTTCTCTGTATAGAGTTAATACCGATTTTACTTTATGCTACGTGAAAGTATATGTTTCACGTAGATGTTATTATAAACAAATTATACCTGTTGAAATAACAGTGCCGTTGTCCAAGAAGGAGAAGGTAGGGAAAGAACAGGCAGTGTATTGTGCAGTCCACAAAATATAAACGTATCTCGCGGCTAAAATATCGCGCTTTCGTTTTAACGTTTGGCCAGGCACAATGCAACTCGCTGACGCTTATACTTTGAAGCGCGTTTCTAGAGCGATTCTGCAAAGCAGGAATTATCTCTGTATCAGGCGGTGGAGTAAAAACGGTTGTTTAAAAAAGGAAAAAGAAAGGACGTTGAGGTGTGGTGTATTTATTCTAACGCCGACCACAGCGAATGGCGGTACTAAAGTTAACGTAACGCGCGGTTTTTCGACTACGAATTATGACACGACGTTATTTTGCTCGCGATTTTGCGATGTATACGCGATATTATGATCTAGCAACGTTCGATGTCATTGCAACAAACATGAGGAAAAATGGAAAAGTATATTTATCACGAATTTTTTTTTAAACAAGGGAACATGCATTACCTGCATTTTCCGTTCGGTTTGGTCCATTCCTTTTCTTTTCTCTTATTCTTTTTTTTTTTAAGATATACCTAGAAAAGAGAAACGGTTATTTCTCTAGTGTCAGTTTTTCATCGCGCGTTTCGCCGAACATTTGAACAATGCCTGAGGCGTGTCAGCACGTTTGACTTCGAGTTACACACGTACACTCGGAGCGTTCGAGTGGCGTCGTGGCTTATTGCCGAGCACGAAGCCGGTAACCCACCTATCTTCTCGATCTCTCGAGAGTGAAAAATATTTAAATGCTGCGGTCGCGCGGTTTCAACTGCGCCGTCGCGGTTTCAACTCGCGTCAGCGCGAAAAAAGGAGCGCGTCGGACCAACCACTTGAGTCGAGAATAGGATCCTTAGAATTTGCACACGGATTCCTGTTTACGGGGATGAATAACGGGATAACGATAAATAATGGGTTCTCACGGAGAGGCGCAACTGTAATCCACAAATAGATGAAAGGTCGATTAAACTATATCACTGAGGCTATTGTTTCGATTACCTTCGTCCGCAAGATGCATCGTGTGTATAGGATGGCATCGCGACTGTAGCAGCATCATGGCGGAGAAGACGGCACTTGAGCCGCTCTTTTTTTCGAGTGTCGCCGCGACAGCGAAGTCGGTGGCATTGTCTCCATTGTTGGCGAATTGTAATCAATATTTTCACAATATAGCGGCATTGTCCATGGCACGGGCGAGTCGTAAGTATGCTTCACGCGCACCGCGAGGCGCTCTTTCTTTTCTTCGACGGTATTCATCGTTGCTTGAAGTAGAGAAAAAAAATTGTAACAGATTTACCTATCCGAAAAACCATCGCAAGTTGCGTCAAGCCAATTTCGCAGTTTGAATGACACAAAATTTCCGATTCTTTTTTAATCATAAGGTATCAAGCGAGACGTTATCAATCGGTATAATTGTGTTAGAAGTTATATTACGTCTTCAAAATATTTTTACCGATAATTTTCCCTTCTCTCTCAGTGGTTTTTTAAATGAAAATTTTTTATATCAAGTGGTGTTATCGTTTTTCGTAATTTTAAAGTCACGCACGGAAAAGAATTTAGGCTTAAATCAATGATAGATATTCTCATATATAAGCAAGAATATTATGATCTTCTTAGAAGACTTTTAGTCTTGACTTGATTGAATTTGTATTAATGCATATATTACTTGCATTCAATTCAAAATTACAAATCTTCTAAGAATATTACAATATTCTTGCTTATATATGAAAATACCTATCGTTGATTTATATATAAGATTATTTTTTTCTGTGTAGTGAATTTTATCAATGAAAGATCCTTTAATATCTCTAGGACGAACATGAGTCTCAGTGCCGTATAGTGGACGCATAGCAACGTGTCTTTCTGTTGCCAGACTGAAATAGCGTTATAACTGACGTTCATAGAAGGGAAACAAAACTTAGAATTATATGAGCATTAAAATCATTAAACGGTCAGATAAGCGTGTAGTCAGAATACGGTTCTGAAATAAATATTCAGCTGTAGTTTGTCTGTTTCTGCTTTCTAACACTTAATATTTGAAAGTCAATTCAAGGACATTAGAGAAAAAAGTACCCTGTTGTTTGTATTTAGCAATTGTATTTTAGCTGTTTTAACACCTAAAGTGGACCTCTTGTCTGTTTACTTTCATCTAGCTTTACTAATTTTTTTTTGCCTGGTTTCAAGTATTCACTGTACTTTCGGAACTATTGACCGATTAAGATGAATGTTTATACGAAATAAATCGCAATGTTGTGAAGTAATTATGGGGACTGTTAACGACGTATTGTTTCTTGTATACAAGCATCTTAATGTGACGGAAAATATCATGGCATCAAGGGAAAACTTTCAAAATCTTTCCAAGCGACAGGATGTTCCCTTGTTTCCAACAAAGACTCTTCATGTTGACCTTGAATACCCAATAGGGTGTCGTATTTTGAGCATTACAGGAAAACGTAACAAGTAATTTCTGGAACTCTAACTTCCCATAATTGTTTAAATTCAAATATCTATAAATTATATTCTGTGACAATTTCTATTCACGAACATCTGGAAAAAACGTCCCGAGACAAGATGTATTTTACTCACGCAGCATCTTGACGTTTTATTCTTGTAGTTTCATACAACATTTGTTAATCTTGCTGTGCACATATTGTTGAGCTTAATGAACAAGCTTGCCAATTTCTAATAAGTACTCATTTGAGATATCAGTTAAAATTCCAACATTATACAAAGGGCATAACATTGTATTACACTGTTAGAATATAGACGTAATTTTCCCCAGGGCTGGATAACACTTCATTTTTTGCGAAACAACAGGTGTAAACGAAAATAAAAGGTTTCCGAGTGAATACTTATACGCAGAAGAAAATGCGAGAAAGTCGAATTCGAACAGACGCGTGCCAAGAATTTTGACCTCTGTTACGTGACGCCACGATTTTCAATGGTTAACAACTAGGTTGAAGAGGTTGAAGATTGGCCTTGGCGGAGACCCCCTTAATGTGCGTGTTGAAGTTTATTACGGCCATCTTTCTGCACGTTGATCTTAATTATATTATATCGTACTTAATTATACTATATCAACGTATCGTTGATCTTAATTATACTATATGAATAATCTGACCAAATAATTCTGCATCTTAGCCACGTGATTCCCAGCTGTTGAGGCTTGCTGAAGAGTACCGTTACGTTATTTACTCACTAATTCTGCGTACATATTAATATTATATATTATACAGGGCGAATCACTTAACAAAATGTCGCGATGATTCCTCGTGATGATAGCCGATCGTGA